CGAAGCAAACGCAGTAAACAGCGTGCCACCACAGTCTGCAGCACACATCATTCATCAATATCATTCAATATAAATAATCAAGAGTCTGCACTTTGTATGACGCGGGACGGAATAATCAACAGCGGGAGGTATACGATAGCAAGGAGCACTTTTTGCCTCCAAACCCTGGTCCGCACCTGCCTTAAGCATCGGAATCAAAAGCTTGTGAATACAGGTGGAGTATGGTCAAGTGATTTTCTAGGCGCTTGTTTAAATCTTGCAAGCACTCCAATCAATGCTGCAAACGCCAAGTGGATTCCTTCATGGTGCATTGCTATCTGAATAGGCTGCGTGCGCATCAACTCTTCATCGATGGCCCGCTTCCACAATCCCCGCCTCATCCGAAGATTCGATGTCTCTGAGGTCCGAAGTTTTCATCTGCAGGAGCTCAAGCAATCAGTGGTTGAAAGCGAGTGCCAAGACCATAGCTGCCATAGCTGAAAATGATTTGACATGCAAGCAACTCAGAAAGTAAGCGTGGTAACAGCATGGCAAATGGAGCTGGAAATCACTGATTTCTTCAAGGCGGATTTCCCATGGAGGACTGGTGCAGAAGAGACGTCACACATGATTTACTTTGATCCACATTCACACTTTCGTATAGTGCTTTGATTCTTTTGCTTGCATGAACTTCATCATCAAACGTATTTCAGGAAATCCGAGGTGCACAAAGAAATAAATGGCAGGGGGTTCCTTGATGTTCCTTGATCCTTTTGCTGCGGTTGTTTGCAGTTGCTGCCGCTACTGCTACTGCTACTGCTGGTGGTGGCGGCGGCGGAGGCAGGAAGTTCGACATAGTGAGAAGGCAGGGAAGGAGGACAAGACGAAGGAGCATTTCAAGAGCTAGGGATATGCATTGTTGCTTCTTGTTTGCTCTGGACACATTTGAACCCCAAACCCTTGTGTCTCTCCAAGTTCAGTCCAAGCTCGTATCGTCTTGTTACATTTTGTTACCTTACATAGAAGGCAGGGCAGTGACAAATACCTTTTGCAGCTTCAAATCCCTAAGCCACTTCTACCCGAAGAAGCTTGGTAAAGCAAACAACTGCAGTTTCTAGCTCCCTTCAAGGTTCAGAGAAATCTCCATGTAAGTTGTGTTTCCCCACTTCCATGTGCTCAGTCCCTTTGACACGTTCAAGCAAGTTCAGGCTTTAGAAGAGCATATCCTCCACTTGCATGATCAAAAGATGCTCTTGGAATAGATGCTGCTTGGTGAACAGAGGGAAAGCAAGATAAGAAAAAGAAAACGAAAAGAGTAGAGGAGGAGGGGCAAGATGTCAAGGAAGACTGACGAAAGAAGAAAAGCACGACGACAAGCAAAAAGGGAGGGGGCTTGTGTTGGTAAATCACATAGTCGACCCCAGGTTTCCCTGCCTTTCTGGAGCAAGAGCAAAATTGCAAGTGCTCAACTTGTACAGCCGACTTGTAGCTTTCGTGATGCTTTCGTGATTACAATTGAGCTCCGCTTCGTTAATGTTCCAAGTTCAATCCCTGCCTTCTTCTCCTCAGGAGGTGGCTCCTGCTTCCCGCTGCGGAAAAAACATGAACGAGGCATCGAAGTCAACGTCTACGGACATCTGCAGAGAATTGAATTTATTGGTGTGAACAAAATCGTTGGTAGCTCAGGTAGACAAATTCCGCAGGCATTGAAGGCCCAAGCAACCCCAAACATGCCACATCACTGTCCACAGTCGCTACCGTGTCTATGCTCAGGTCCTCCGCTTTACGTTTCTTGGTTACACGCTCCGGCACTATGACCACATTCTCGGGTTTGAACCTCGGAATAAAGCAAGGAAAACAATGGCCTTTGAAGGTCCTTTGGCATGTAACAAGAGTTTAAACATGTAGAACAAAAATCTGCAAACTTCCTGTAGTGACATATCGATATCGATGGCAATTCTGTGGATTCATATTGGATACGTCAGGAAATGCTGGCACAAAACATCATTTCATCTGAGAGTGCCGACAAGCCTTCCAACTTCTTTTAGTTCAAGTCTAACAAGTTTCATCCAATTGCTTCAAAGTGTTACTGTTTTTTTGTTCACAAACTACTGATGCTTGCCTTTTGCTTTAAGACCCTTGCGATTTGCGCTCTTTCGGCTCAGTATCATTCATATCAACGATCCAGCGGTCGCCGTGCCTAGATGGTGAGACGCCAGAGCGTGAGACTTACTTCATTCCACACCCAAAATCACCTTCAAGGTCCTCTTTGCGCATCAGACTGCTCTTTGTATGCAAGGGATGCCAAATTGAGCGAAAATCCTTGCTGGACACATTTGAAACCGAACGATTCAGTATCAGGAGTGACAATTCTTCATATTGCCTCTTCATACTGCTTTGGACAGCTAGACCTCTAATGATTCAAAACTGAGATTGGGCGCCTTCAGAACCGTAAGATTGCGCACCTTTAGCTAGATTCAATAGTTCAAGTCCCGAGTGCTTTTCTTTTGAGCATTCCGTCATGTTGCCTGCAATTACCCCAAATCTCTGAACCCTTTGATTCGTAAATCTTAGGGCTCGCATGTGCCCTTTGGGCGCAGGACCAACTCAGCACTTCGCCGCTTTTTCCATTCAGCCTGAGGGCCGGAAATTCAATGACACAGCCCCAATATGCCAATGATGGACTGCTGAAAGCCATGTTTGCTTTCAGCAGTCCCTTCTTGCGTCTCGTCCCCTCATCAAATTGACTCGCATCGTCCTCATTTGCAACTATCAATCTGTAGAAACCTGAACATGGCATTGATTCACAACCTTGGCTCAGGATGTTCACTCTGGGTGCTGCTCATTTCCTGTGACTCTTTCACGCAGCGTTCTTACCCTGCTGCTCTGGAGATATCACTATAGTCCTTGTGCCAATGTCTCTCCGCATATGGCCGCTTCAGTGACCATCAAATTGATTGACCTCTCCAAGACTGTATGTATGTATATGTATGTTACAGTTTAGTATACCCCTGATTTCCTGTGGCGTCCTCCCAATCGCGCTGCTGTGGGATCCCTTGCGACGGTGACTTATGGTGTGACTGAACCTGTGTAACCTGTGTGGCCTGTGGTGAAGTTGAAGTGTCTCTGGTTCCGTCATATGTCATCCATGCTGTCATGCTGTCGATCATGCTGTGCTGTTCGTCTGAGTGCAAGGCTTGGAGCCTGATGCACTGGTCAATCCCACAACCACCACTTGTGATCCCGGCCTTGGCCAGATCGTGTCGAACAGGACCTTTCGATTTTCAGTCAATACATTTTATCTAAAAGTGCTTTGTATACATGGGCCCGTCCAGCAACCCCCCAACCCCCCATCTTGGTCATGGTAGCTAGCATCTGGCTACTATAAAGGTACTGTATGGGCAGTAACAGGTTGTACATAGATCGTATGGGCAGTCAACCCTGCATGGAGGTATCATGTAGGTAGTGGATACTAGTAGGTAGTATGTGGCTAGGCTGTTGCGTTGTTGCGCTGGGGGGTGCGGGGGGCATAGCATTCATGGAGGTGGGTTGCCAGCCGCCGGCCAGGACCATATATACATTTGACATATTATCTACCATTATCAAAATAAGTCCAAAAAGGAACCTTGCAGAGTACGTGTCATTTTGACAAAATATGTCATGTCTCTGCTTTCAGTAGCAGTCTTGGCAGTCTTGTGGCTGGATGTGTTACGCCTTAAGCTCCTGGCAAGAGCTCCGTTACCCTCAAGTTGGTGGGCTTCAATGACAGCTGCGCACCACTGCCTTTGCAAATGTCATGCGAACAGATGCGAACCAAGCATAGCAAAACTATGCAAGACTGGTTTCAAGCCTTGCACAAATGATGCACAGAAAAGGTTTGAGATACTGCTGTGGCTGTCTCCGCTGTGTCTGGTTGTAACAAATCCAAGCATCTCAAGAGCTCCACTGCTCATGTCTGAGATCCAAGAAACCCTCAAGATTTCTGTGGGTCGGACTGGTGACAACCAACAAGCGCTCAGCATTGTCAGGGTTGATGCCCTTGGAGACGCAGTACCTGCAACGAATTCCAACGTATTGGGAGTTTTAATTCTGGTGTAAAATCTGTGTGCGGATAGTTGTAGTAGATACCTTATTAAATCATATATATATATATATCTAAATTTCAAGAAAAATATCAATGAAAATGTTAATTACTTTACAAACGGAATATATATTTGACAAAGGATTGTCTTTCTTGCAATAAATATAAGTACATTTTTTTCGTTTTCACTTCCAGTAATTTCCAGGCTAGTACAACTTTGGCAGGAAATCGCCTGTTCTTTTGATCATCTCATGGTGCCCAAGGCACTGATCGTTGAGCTCAGGCTTTGATGACAGCCCGCAGATCCTTGGTGATGTGGGTTGTAGATGGTTGCAGCAAAAACCTTCACGAAACCATGAACAAGTCCAAACAGTCCGCACAGCCACTACAGTCCATACAGTCAATACGGCCCATTGGTCTTGAGTGCCACACTGAGCGTGCTGACCAAGAGGAAACTCATCGACAGATTGCCCCTCTGCCATTTCCCCCAAAAAAATCCTCCAAGTGGTTCAGTCGTTCAGTCTGAGTTGTTGAATGCAGCGCTACCTATTTTGTAGAGGGCGTTAGCCCAGGTCTTACAAAAGATCCAAATGAGGTCTTACTGCTCAAAACAAGATGAAACCCACGAACCCGAATGCTCACACGTATGTTAATGGCACAGATGTCAAAACACATGGTTATGCAGTCACGCACAATACCTTTCTGCAAGAAACTATTTGAACAGTCTTGTGCATGTTTCCCTTGTTGCCAGTCTGCAGTGTGGAGTGGAAAGTGTAGAGTGATGTAGAGTGTGGAGTGTGGAGTGTGAAGTAAGGAGTGTGGAGTGTAAAGTGTGGAGTGGGGAGTGTAGAGTGTGTAAAGTGTAGAATGCGGAGTGTAAAGTGTAGAGTGTGGAGTATGGAGTGTAAAGTGTAGAGTGTGGAGTGCAGAGTGTGGAGTGTGGAGTGTAGAGTGTGGAGTGAGGAGTGTAAAGTGCAAAGTGTGGAGTGTGGAGTGTAAAGTGAGGAGTGTAAAGTGTGGAGTGAGGAGTGTGGAGTTTGTAAATTGTAGAGTGTGAAGTGTAGAGTGTAAAGTGTAGAGTTTAAAGTGTAGAGTGTGGAGTGTAGAGTGTAGCGTGTGGAGTGTGGAGTGGAAAGTGTGGAGTGTAAATTGTAGAGTGTGGAGTGTGGAGTGTAAAGTGTGGAGTGTAAAGTGTGGAGTGTGCGGAGTGTAAAGTGTGGAGTGTGGAGTGGAAAGTGTGGAGTGTGAAGTGTGGAGTGTCAAGTGTGGAGTGTGGAATGTGGAGTGTAAAGTGTGGAGTGTGGAGTGAGTGTAAAGTGTGGAGTGTGGAGTGAGGAGTGTAAAGTGTGGAGTGTGGAGTGTAAAGTGTTGAGTGTAAAGTGTGCAGCGTAAAGTTTAGATTGTGGAGTCTGGAGTGGAAAGTGTAGAGTGTGGTGTGTAGAGTGTGGAGTGTGGAGTGTAAAGTGAGGAGTGTAAAGTGTGGAGTGTGGAGTGAGGAGTGTAAAGTATAAAGTGTGGAGTGTGGAGTGTACAGTAAAGTGTAGAGTGTGGAGTGCGGAGTGCGGAGTGGAAAGTGTAGAGTGTGGAAGGTGGAGTGTAAAGTGGGGAGTGTGGAGTGTAGAGTGTGGAGTGAGGAGTGTAAAGTGTAAAGTGTGGACTGAGTGTGGAGCGTAAAGTGTAGAGTGTGGAGTCTGGAGTGGAAAGTGTAGAGTGTAGTGTGGAGTGTGGAGTGTAGAGTGTCAAGTGTAGAGTGTAAAGTGTAGAGTGTGGAGTGTGGAGTGGAAAGTGTGGAGTGTGAAGTGTGGAGTGTATAGTGTAAAGTGAGGAGTGTGGAGTGTAAAGTGTAGAGTGTGGAATGTGGAGTGTAAAGTGTAGAGTGAGGAGTGAGGAGTGAGGAGTGGAAAGTGTAGAGTGTAGTGTGAAGTGTGGAGTGTGGAGTGTAAAGCCTCAGGTGGGGAGTGAGGAATGTAAAGTGCAAAGTGTATAGTGTGGAGCCTAAAGTGTAAATTCTGGAGTGTAAAGTGTAGAGTGTGGAGTGCGGAGCTTCCACCATAGACACGGCGACGCCACAGGAAAACCAGAGACTCGAGACGAGACACGTGGGTGCAAAAAAAACAGCATTTCGTGCGAGACTTCCTCCAATTTTGATATTTTCGACACATTATCAAACAGGTTGGAATGTCACAAAGTGCCACACCTGCCACGCAAAACGACATGACAACCTGCTTGGACACATTCGAATAGGAGATGTTTTCCAGCTTCCCCCATAGACACGGCGACGCCACAGGAAAACCAGCGACTCGAGACGAGACACGTGGATGCAGAAAAACCAGCATTTCGTGCGAGACCTCCTCCAAGTTTGACATTTTCGACACATTATCAAACAGGTTGGAATGTCACAAAGTGTCACGCCTGCCACGCAAAACGACATGACAACCTGCTTGGACACATTCGAATAGGAGAGGTTTTCCAGCTTCCCCCATAGACACGGCGAAGCCACGGGAAAACCAGAGACTCGAGACGAGACGCGTGGGAGCACCAAAACGAGCATTTCGTGCGAGACTTCCTCCAATTTTCACTCTTTGTAGCTTCAAAATCGACGTTTTCCTACGAGTTTTCCTAGGAACCTCTAAAATTTGCAACCTCAAAATCGATGTTTCGTGCGAGGCTTCCGTCAATTTTCATCACATGTCACAAAATGCCACGCCTGCCACGGAATTTTCACCTTGTCGCCACTTGACGCAGCCATGCCAATGCGATTTGCAAAAAACACGTGACACGACACGTCTAAAGTGCTGCGCCTGCCACGAAAACTGCCACGCATCTTTGGAAAACGTCGCAAAAGTATTGCGCCTGCCACACAAAACGACTTTCGACACGTTACAAAACACGTCTGAATGTCACAAAGTGCCACGCCTACCACGCGAAATGAAGCAACGAAACGTTGGAAACCTCCAAAAATGACCCCTCCTGCAGAACTTACCATAGGCATGGCCATACGGGGATCGCGCGAACGGTTGCGGACGGTTGCGAACGGTTGCGGACGCGAACGCAACGTCGAGCGAACACACCCTCAACCCCCAGACCCCCAGAGTGAAACGGGAACCCTTGCTACGCATTCGGGAAAAAACTAAAGAGTTCTTGGATGTTTGCTTTTGTACATGCCTTGCAGGAGTGAAATTAATGGATGTTGATTCGGATCCATTGAATCCATTGACATGTCGATGTTCTCAAGTCTTTTTGTCGGAGTCATGGCTTGGACAACCCTCATGTGGAAGCTATGAGCTGACGGCCAAACGATCACATTGCAACGTGTGCTTCTCGAAATCTGTAACAAACATATCATGCAACATAAAACATATACATACATATTTACATGATTATTTGCAATTATATGACATATACAGTTTGTATTTGTGTTGCACTTGCCATGTACACACATGCCGTGTCTGTCACTTTGCACTGCAGGCACTGGGAGGACACCCATTTCTCCGTCAGCCATCACGGCTCAAGGCGACGCTCTCAGTCCATGTCAGTCCATTTCACTGGAGAGAGGATCAGTTTTGTACACACTTCTGGCCTTTCTCTTTATTTTCAGATTTGTACAGTTTGGTCTGAAATGACTTGAAGTTCAGGTTTGTGTGACCGGTTGCTTTCGCTTGCTTCACTTCATAAAATGTATTTAAAGTCTCATGACCAGGATACCTATGAACATGTAACTCTGCTACATAGATTTACATGCAGTTTTCGGCGTTTCTGGTTTTGGCATGTTTTGACATCCAGAAAGAATTTGATGAATTTCAGAGGAAGAGTTTGGTGCGAGACTTGCAGAATTCGACTTATTCCACATTGGCTTCGGCAATGCAAAATGCTCTTCCAAACGCTGCATTGATCTGCATTGACTACATTCAAAATCATTCAAACTTGCTAGTTTTGAACAGTTTTATATGTTTTCCCCCAAAAATCACACACTGTATATATGAGAGGTACCTTTCTATTTTTCTCGTGCCATTTTCAATTGTACCTTGCTTGTGTGGGTCCTGTGCATTACATGTTCTTTTTCATAAAGCTGTTTCCCCTTCCTCAAGCCGCTTGCTGTTGTGCTTCCTTCTGTAAGATCATGTTTTGGTCCACTCTGGTCAGCTGGGCTGTTCCCGAGATTCTTGCGTGAGTTTCTTTCCTGATTAAAGTCCTTTGCTAGTCCCAGGCGTTCTTTATTCACTGCGCCAGGATGACCACACCATGGTGATAGATACCTTGAAATCATTATCCAAAGACCTGGGGCTAATAATGATGAGCGCATATGAATATGAACTTGCACCTTGATATGAGTTTCTGGGCCTGGAGCGTGCACCCATATTCCACTGATCATCACGGCCCAAGGTGATGTTCCCAGCGTCATTTAGTAACGCTGGAGCCATCACACAAGGCTGCTCCCAACCAAGTTAGAAGGCGGGAAGTGACGTACTGTAACTAATAGACAGGTAACATGACACATTTCCACCGCAGTGCTTCACCTAGAATGGGTTGGAGCAGCACTGTCACAGCTCCAAGGGAAGAGCCGTGTCGTCACAACAGGGTCAGAACGTCCAAGGAGTCTTCTTTGATGGACTTCATGACCTAAGTTTTCATTCAAAATCAAAATAGTTCAACATGCTTGAAATTCAAACACTCTGCTATTGCTTCACCCCGATACTGACTGCTGGGTTTGCTACTGTATAGCAGACATAGGCTTGAAGCAGTGGCTCGAAAATGGGCCGAAGATTGTGTTCAGCAACAAAGTCGTGGCACCTGTGGGAAATTGAAGAACTTGATTCGAACTGAGAAACACTCAAGCCTACAGCACGGAGCCAGTTCCAGCACCACAAAGTGCAAGGAATGACAAAACAGGAAAATTACACAGACACAAACAAAGAATGTGAAATACACAGCTGGACCGCAGGAGTTCCTAAGTTCCCTGCGCTTCTTCTACTGTGTTCTCAGTGGTGTATTCCAGAGGTCCTGGCTTAGGAAAACACACGAGGTCTGTTCTGGTCCTAAGCCGCTACAACTGTCTCAAGTTTTGCAAAAAGTGTTGCAACATGTTGCAACCTTTTTTCGGATTTCATTCTTGTACAGGCTTGTCCACCCCGTGCTTTTCACTGCCAAACCATGGAGGGAAAACCCAAGGGAAACTCTTCACCACCTGTTCACACAGCTTGAAAGAAGTGAAATGTTCTGAGAAAGTTGCGAATGCCGGAGCAAAAAGTACGTACATATATTACATTGCATTGCATTACATTGCATTGCATTGTACTGCATTCCATTCCATTACATTACATTGCGTTGCATTACATTGCGGTGCATTGCACTGCATTCCATTACATTACATTGCGTTGCATTACATTGCATTCCATTGCATTACATTACATTGCATTCCATTGCATTACAATGCATTACATTACATTAGAATGTAATACAATGCAATACGTTGCGTTACATCACATCACAATACATTACAATACATTCAGTGCATTACATTGCAATACAATACGTTACGTTACATTAGGTTACATTACAATATTGTACATCACATTGCAATATGTTACGTTACGTTACATTACATTACAATGTTTTACATTACATTACTATACATTACAATACATTCATTACATCACACTGGAATACAATACATTGCATTACATTACGATCCACTACTCTACATTGCAAAAAATAGATTGCACTACATTAAATACATTAAATACATTACAATACATTACATCACATCACATCACATACATACATACATGCATAACATAACATAACATTACATCACATTACATCACATCACATCACATTACATACAGACAGGACAGACATACATATTTTTCTCCCATGTATCTGCACATCAGGCAAGGCATGCAATAAATTCTCACAGAATGGCAGCAAACAGAATGTAGGCGCGTGATATGAACTCGACACAGCTCACAGCACTGATTCGAAGGGAGGGCAGTCGCGCCACGTCGTGCCTAGATTCACTTCCACCGTCAGGATGGGCGTGCCCTTTGGCAACTCGTAAGGTTCGACCGGGACCCAGAGTCCTACAGTCGGGAGGTGCGGCATGGTGCAGCATGGTCTGGCATATGGAGCAGCCATATGCTCAAACATGCTCAAACAACAAACGCGCATTCTTCGCCATCCCTATGAACAAATCAAGTTTGCTTGGACGGTATACCTTAGCCTGTCCTGACGAGCATATGCAGTGTCTTAGATACATTTGAACGGCCAGCCTTCTAGATCGACAGTCTCTGGGTCGTCGAATTCCCGGATGTAGTCTTCCCAGTTGTCGTGTTTCTTCTGCACAGGTAGCAGTTTGAAGTGAAACTCATTTGACATCACGACATTTCCCAGAGGAGCCGCGTAGCCTCAAAGTGTTACCTTTAAAAGTTCTTTTGAAAAGAAACGCATAGAGTCCCTTGTTGACAGTAATTGACACTTGCACGACCTTCGTTTCGGACTGTGACCCCTTGGTCTCGAAGAGGGTGTTTACGATTGCTGAGGAATGAAAAACATATGGCATGATGACGGTGGTGATGATGATGCTGATGATGATGATGATGATGATGACGGTGGTGATGATGATGATGCGGAGGATGGGGAGGAGGACGAGGAGGAAGAGGAAGAGGACAACGCTTCATCACCAATAGCCTGAGAACATCGGCCACCTACCATTTGCTCAAAGTCTCGTGGAAGAATACAGTTTAAAAACAAGTTTTAACGTATTTTCAACCGATTCAATAGATAGATGTAGATATAGATATAGATATATATAGATATAGATAGAGATATAGATAGAGATAATAGAGATAATAGAGATAATAGAGATAATAGAGATAATAGAGAGAATAGAGATAATAGAGAGAATAGAGATAGAGATAATAGAGATGGAGATAATCGAGATAGAGATAGTAGAGATAGAGATATAGAGATATAGAGATATAGAGATAATAGAGATAATAGAGATAATAGAGATAATAGAGATAGAGATAGAGATAATAGAGATAGAGATATAGAGATATAGAGATATAGAGATATAGAAATATAGAGATATAGAGATATAGAGATATAGACGAGATATAGACGAGATATAGAGATATAGAGATATAGAGGGATAGATAGATAGATAGATAGATAGATAGAAAGATAGATAGATAGATAGAAAGATAGATAAATAGATAGATAGATAGATAGATGGATGGATCGATACATAGATAGATAGAAAGACAGACAGATAGATAGATAGATAGATAGACAGAGAGAGAGAGAGAGAGAGAGAGACAGAAACAGAGAGACAGAAACAGAGAAACAGAGAGACAGAGAGACATAAAAGACAGAGAGACAGAGAGACAGAAAGAGGGAGAGAAAGAGAGACCGAGAGACCGAGAGACGGATAGACCGACAGACGGACAGACGGGCAGGCGGACAGGCGGACAGGCGGACAGGCGGAGAGGTGGACAGGCGGACAGGCGGACAGACGGACAGACGGACAGACGGACGGACAGACAGACAGACAAATGAGAAGAAATGAGATGAGATGAGATGAGATAAGAGATGAGAAGAGATGAGACGAGATGAGATAAGAGAACAGAAGATAAAACAATAGTGGGTAAGTTAGATAGAATAAGATAATATCAGATCAGGACTATCTTATCTAATCCCTATTCATTGGGGGATGACCATCCCGTACCAACTTTTGGCCATGGCACAGAGTGGACACGCATAGAATACTATACTTTATGCATCTCCCTGCCAATTTGCTTTAACTGGTGCCAGCCTTCATCTTGGGCGGCCGAGGTCGTCTTGGTAGCCAGCGTGGATCCTGGTCCACGGCACTAGATCCGTGAAACAAGACGTGGGCTATGGCGGCTATCTCGAGATGTGGTGAGCTGAAGGCTGGCGTTGGCGTCTCCCCTCTTGCGAGCTGCTGAACCATTCGGTCATGCTGGGCAATTTTCTCCCAGAATGCCTCGAAAACACATTGCAAGTGTCAAAGCAGTGGAAAGATGTGGCAAAAACGAGGCAAAACAAAATAAAGAGGTGGATTGCCAAATATGTTTTTGTGCATGTCACATCGGCGTCAGCGCCGTTGCATATTCATGCCTTGCTTATCTCATGTATTTTGCAGGCACCTGCGCCCTCCTTGGCCCCCTATACCAGCATACACCACCCACACAAGTGCCGCGCGTGCAAAGTACGCCACGCCTTCAGGCTGAGAGCTTTTTCAGCTTTCTCCTGTGGTGAGGTTTTAGCTTTGCATTCGACCGCCAGGCAGAAACATCAAAGTCCAAGCGGGAGAACCCCTGCCTGTGCTTCTTCCATGAAGCTCTTTTCGTATGTGACGGGCTGTAAGCTTTCAAGCATTTCGACGGCTTCCTTGTCCAAAGCTGGCTTTGATTCCCCCTCCGGAACTATGGAATTTCACTCCAAGAACCACGAATCAGTGAGATGCTGCAAGCATTGACTGTGGAATGCCTACCTTAGTGTTTGTCCGTTCCTCTTTCCTCTTCACAGTTCAACAGCTAAAACTCTTTATTGTGGTCTCAGTTTTTGCACTGTTGCCCGTCGAATATATACTGGGTTCATGTGAAACATATCTGCAAATTACCTGTACTATGCCATGTACTAACAAAACACGCTTGCAAGCCAACATGCGTTTTCCACCTGGTTTTTACAGTACGTGAAATACTTGGCCTTGACTACATGCATTTTGTTTGTATATGTCTACTCAGCTACGACCATGCGTTCCTTGTCTTATATGCTAGATTTCTGAGCACGCTGATGAGAACACTAATGGCTCATGATCAAGAGTTTCTTTGACGCACTCGCGTTCTTATAACCTTTGCTGAGCAGAAAAACTTCACCTAAGTTTACCGCATCTTTCTCTACACTTGACAGATCCATCTCAAACACCAAGGCGGGCGCAGCTCCAAAGCGCTGCAAAAGTTTGCGAATAATATGCACGTTCTGCAAACACAAAACTAACGGTCTGAAAACAACAAACAAAACCAACCAACGAACCTGAATGCAGTCACGTGAAACATTTCTGCAAAACAACTTATTTCAACAGTCTTGGGTGTTCTTCCCTTGTTACCGTGCAATTGTACACTGTGGTGTATGGAGTGGGGACAGAAAGTGGAGGGTGCGGCGTGTGAAGTGTAGAGTATAAACAGTGTTGAGACGGGCGTGTAGTGTCTAGAGTAAGAAAAGTGGTGTCTGGACTGGAAAGTGTAGAGTGTAAGGCGTGGAACGTAAAGCGTTGGAGTGTTGAATGCCGAGTGGGGATTGGGAAGTGTAAGGTGTGGAGTCTGGAGTGCAAAGTGGGGAGCGCAGAGAGTGTGAATTGTGGTATGTTAAGTAGTGTTAAGCGTGGGGTGTGGGGTGTGGAGTGTAGTGGGGAGTGGGAAGTGGGGAGTGTAAAGTGTAGAGTATAAGATGTGGAGTGTAGAGTGTGGAGTGGGAGGGGGGGAGATGGGGAGTGTCGAATGTGGAGTGTAAAGTGTGGAGCGCGGAGTGTAAAGTGAGGATTGTAGAAGATGGCGTGGGGGGTGTGTGCAGTGCCAAGTGTGCAGTGTAAAGTGCGCAGTTAAAATTGTGGGGTGTGGAGTGGGAATTGGGGGGTATAGAGTGTGGAGTGTACAGTATGCAGCATGAAGCGTGAAGTGTGACATGTGGAGTGTAGGGTGTAGGGTGTAGAGTGTGAAGTGGGGATTGTGACGTGCGGGGTGTAAAGCGTAGAGTGGAGTGTCGAGGGCAGAGCGTGGAATGAGGAGTGTGGAGTGTGACATGTAGAGTGCGGAGGAGTGTGGAGTGTGGAGTGGGGAGCGTAGACCTGGAGTGTAAAGTGTGGAGTGTAAAGTGTACAATGTGCGATGGGGATGGGGGGTGTCAAGTGTGCAGTGTAATGTGTGCACTGTAAATGGCGGAGTGTGGGGTGGGAAGCGGGGAGTGGGGAATGTAGAGTGCGGAGTGTAAAGTATAGAGTGTGACGGTGAAATGTGACATGTGGAGTTGAGAGTGTCGAATGTAGGGTGGGGATTGGGGAGTGTGGAGTGTAAAGTGTAGAGTGCAGAATGTAGAGTGGTGAGTGTGGAGTGAGGAGCGTGGAGTGTGACATGTAGAGCATGGAGTGTAGAGAATGGAGTGTGAAGTGTGGAGTTTGGAGTGTAAAATGTGGAGTGTAGAGTGTGATGTGTAGAGTGTAGAGTGTGAAGTGTAGTGTGTGGAGTGCAGAGTGTGGAGTGTAACGTGGAGTGTACAGTATGCAGCGTGAAGCGTGAAGTGTGACATGTGGAGTGTAGGGTGTAGGGTGTAGAGTGTGAAGTGGGGATTGTGACGTGCGGGGTGTAAAGCGTAGAGTGGAGTGTCGAGGGCAGAGCGTGGAATGAGGAGTGTGGAGTGTGACATGTAGAGTGCGGAGGAGTGTGGAGTGTGGAGTGGGGAGCGTAGACCTGGAGTGTAAAGTGTGGAGTGTAAAGTGTAGAGTGTGCGATGGGGATGGGGGGTGTCAAGTGTGCAGTGTAATGTGTGCACTGTAAATGGCGGAGTGTGGAGTGGGAAGCGGGGAGTGGGGAATGTAGAGTGCGGAGTGTAAAGTATAGAGTGTGACGGTGAAATGTGACATGTGGAGTTGAGAGTGTCGAATGTAGGGTGGGGATTGGGGAGTGTGGAGTGTAAAGTGTAGAGTGCAGAATGTAGAGTGGAGAGTGTGGAGTGAGGAGCGTGGAGTGTGACATGTAGAGCATGGAGTGTAGAGAATGGAGCGTGAAGTGTGGAGTTTGGAGTGTAAAATGTGGAGTGTAGAGTGTGATGTGTAGAGTGTAGAGTGTGAAGTGTAGTGTGTGGAGTGTAGAGTGTGGAGTGTAACGTGTAGAGTGTAAGGTGTGGAGTGTGATGTGGAGTGTAGTGCGGAGAGTAGGGTGTGGGGTGGGGAGCGGGGAGTGTAGAATGTGGAGCGTAAAGCGTGGAGTTTGAAGAGTAGTGAAGTGTAGAGTGTGAAGTGAAGATATGGAACGTCAACTGTGCAGTGTAAAGTGTGGAAAGTCTGGAATATAGAGCGGGGAAGGTCAAGTCTACAGTGCGTCAGAACTTCACCACATGCTGCGCCTGCCACGAAAACGGGCCCTCACACGGTGTCCCACGCAATTTGCACGTTGTCACCACTTGACACAGCCTTACAATGAACACGTCCAAAGCGCTGCGCCTGCCACGCAACATGCACATGTCACATGGGCACGTCCAAAGTGCCGCACCTGCGACGAAAAATGCAAGTCATCTTCTGCAAACCTCTCGAAACTATTGTGCGTGTCACACAAAACGACTTTTGGCACGTTACGAAGCACGTCGAACTGTGTGACGGAATGCCACGCCTGCCACGCAAAAAGACCCCATAACTTCTTTTGAAAGCTTCAAACATGAACAGTTTTGCAGCTTTCCCCACAGGCACGGCAACACAACAACAAAACCAGAGAACCGAGACGAGACACTGTAAGAAGCTCACAACGAGCATTTCGTACGAGACGCCTTCAACTTTTCACGTTTCGCAGCTACAAAATGTCCTCTCATGAACTACAAAATTTGCTGCCTCAAAATCGATGTTTTGTGCAAGGCTTCCGTCAATTTTCATCACGTGCAAATTGCGCATGGACACGTCCCAAGTGCTGCACCTGCCACGAAAAATGCAAGTCATCTTCCGAAAACCTCTCAAAAGTATTGTGCCTGTCACACAAAACGACTTTCGACACTTTATCAGGTTCGTGAGAATGCCACGAAGTGCCACATGTGCCACAAACGGCATTGCACAACGCTTCAAACCTCCAAAAGTCGTTTGCAACCCGGACAGTTGCAGATGGTTGCGGACGGTTGCGGACGGCAAAGCAGTCTTGAGCAAACGCGGCTCCACCCCCAGACCTGCAAAGTAAAACGAGAACCCCTCCCCGCGCATTCGGGAATACCCTTCAACACATCATACACCTTCTCGTATATCTTTGCTTTGGGCACCTCATGGAACTTTATGAATGATCTGATCAAACTGCCCAAGTTGATCTGATGCTAAGACATGCTAAGACATGCCAGGACATGCCAAGACACATCATCCGTTTTATGGACAGTCTCCGGCTGCTGGAGTTCCTGGAGCTCTTGGGGCTCTTCCGAAGTTTTGGGGAATCGGAAACCGCGTCCAAAATCTTTTTTAAACCACTCTGAAAACCACACGACATTAGTCAACGCACCAGCATTTTTGGATACTGTTGGCACAAGACTTGTTCGTTCACGTCCTCTGCAGTCGTCTCCAAGTGCTTGTGTTCGCGCTCATGGACTTCTTGGAAGTTGGCGATGGCAGCACACAGCCGCTTCAAGTCAATTCCGGAATCACTGTCCTCCGCCTGTCGGCAAAACCAGCAAACATGTTGATGGAACGAGGAGGCTGCAGAGAGGTTGTACAGCACCCTGTTTTACACTTTTTGACTAGGAATACGGCATTCCTTTTTAGTCAAACTCTTCCACGTGAAGGATTAGAGCTTGAAGAACTTGACATGACATGAAATCTATCGGACACATGTAGGCTGATCATGCCTAATCTCTATGATCCGTGTCTCCGTGATCTGAAATGGTTTAGCCTCTTTCGATTTCTTTTGCATTGCCTCTTTTGGAGGCTCCGTCTGAATGGGCTCGATGTGAACCGGCTCCGTCTGAACTCCTATCTCCGCAGTTGCTGGCTTTGCCTTCCTCGAAAGAGAACGAGGCACAGGCGTGCTACTTCCATGTCATTCCACTGTCTCAAGCCTGTCTGTAAATTTATGTAATCAGAGTTCATCATGTTCATAAGCACTAGTTTGACACAAGTTGTCCATGGCCGTGGGCCGGTGAACCTGTGGCAATTTTGTGTTAAAGTTTGGAATATTTCTGGCTGCTGCGTGTCCTGTGATCCTGCAAGCTGGGGCTGGGACACCTTGAGCGGTCTGTTAGTGACCGGGTCGATCTCGATCGGACCTCGAAAACAAAGATCATCTCTCTTCCCACTGTTCATGAAACCTCACCAACTGCACAGATTGAAGCCTTCAACAGCAAAGCAGTTCGTAACTCTCTTGTCCCAGCATCCCGAAAAGCCAAAATGTTTCAAATATCCTTCATCAACCGATCCTGTGTCCTGCCCTCTTAAGCCATTGATGTTTGCTAATGATGGTCTTGTGACGGTTCTTTGAAACCTTGTTTCCTGGCTTTGCGGAAATAGACAAGCACGGCTTTGCAGCATGGCGCATCATGGCATTGGCACATTGGCGTTGCTGGATCGTTGGAGCTGAGCAGCAAACGCCCGTCCCATGGAATTGCACGGTCCCATGGCTGAGTTTCTGGATGCCACATGCTGCTAGCCTGCCAATTTGCACACTGGATCGCATAATTCTACGTGACGACCCATGCGACCCATGTGAATCCAGAGGTAAATCAGGACGTCATGGCAAAATGGATCAATCGACCAAGTCGGCCATTGGACATGTCATACAATCTGCAGCGGTCGACAAGAGGTGGACCGCTACAATCATTAGGACCGAACCTGGGCAACATCTCCGCAACCGAAGAATTTACATATGCATCTACATTTACATATGCATTCACAAAACGTTTCCTTATATATATATTATATATATTACACAAATGCATAATCGATATACCAGCAGTACCGCACAAGGTGGTGGCGGAAGTTTCAAAGATAGGACGCTATAGGAGAGGTGAGTTGTAATGGCTGCAGCAGTCACCTCACCCACAACTGCTGGATAGTGTGGGTGTAGTGCAGTTGTAGTTGTACTTGCAATGTAGTGGAATTAGTGTAGTGTAGTTGTAGTTGCAGTTGCGGTTGTAGTTGCAGTTGCGGTTGTAGTTGCGGTGTGGTGTGAGTAGCGTAGTGTAATTTAGTGTATTGTGTTGTGTACTACAGTGTAGTATAGTGTAGTGTGGTCTACTGTAGTGTAGTGTGAAGTAGTGTAGTGGTTGTAGCTGTAGTTGTAGTGTAGTGTAATTAGTGTAGTGTAGTGTAATGTAGTTGTAGTTCTAGTTGTAATTAGTGTAGCCTAGTGTAGCGTAGTGTTGTGTAATGTAGTGTAGTTGTAGTGGTAGGTGTAGCGTAGTGCAGTCTAACTAGTGTAGTGTAGTGTAGTGTAACGTGGTGTTTTTGAAGTTGTAGTTGTAGCTGAATTTGTAGTAATAGTTGTAGTTGTAGTTATAGTTGTAGTGTAATTTCCGTAGTTGTAGCAATTTCATGTAGTGCAGTGAAATGAGCGTACTTAAATATATTTTAATTTTCAGCGTAATGTATTTGTAGTTGTACCTGTAGTAGTAGTGTAGTGTAGGTAGTGGTAGTTGTATTATCTATCTATCTATCTAATCTAACCTAATCTTTCTATCTATCTACCTACCTATCTATCTATCTATCTATCTATCTAACTAATCTAATCTAATCTAATCTAATCTATCTATCTATCTATCTATCTTATTTATCTACCTATCTTATTTATCTATCTATCTTATTTATCTATCTATCTTTTTCATCTGTCTATCTTATCTATCTATTTATCAATCTATCAATCAATCAATCAATCTATCTACCTATCTATCCATCTATCTATCTATCTATCTATCGAATCTATCGAATCTATCGAATCTATCTATCTAATCTATCTATCTAATCTATCTATCTAATCTATCTATCTAATCTATATATCTATACAATCTATCTATCTATCTATCTAATCCAATCCAATCCAATCTAATCTAATCTATCTATCTATCGAATCTATGGAATCTATCTATCTAATCTATCTAATCTATCTAATCTATCTAATCTATCTAATCTAATCTAACTAATCTAATCTAATCTAATCTAGTTAATCTATCTATCAACCTATCTACCTACCTATGTATCTATCTATCCATCTATCTATCCATCCATCTATCTAATCTATCTAATCTATCTGATCTATTAAATCTATCTATCTAATCTAATCTAATCTAATCCAATCTAATCTAATCTAATCTAATTATCTATCTATCTATCTGTCTATCTATCTATCTATCGATCGATCTATCTATCTATCTATCTATCTCATCGATCTCATCGATCTCATCGATCTCATCGATCTGATCGATCTAATCGATCTAGTCGATCTAGTCGATCTAGTCGATCTAGTCGATCTAGTCGATCTAGTCGATCTACTCGATCTAGTCGATCTAGTCGATCTAGTCGATCTACTCGATCTACTCGATCTACTCGATCTACCCGATCTACTCGATCTACTCGATCTACTCGATCTGCTCGATCTACGCGATCTACGCGATCTACGCGATCTACGCGATCTACGCGATCTACGCGATCTACGCGATCTACGCGATCTACGCGATCTACGCGATCTACGCGATCTACGCGATCTACGCGATCTACGCTATTTACGCTAGCTACGCTATCTATCTATCTATCTGTCTGTCTATCTATCTATCTATCAATCTATCTATCTATCTAATCTATCTAATCTATCTAATCTATCTAATCTATCTAATCTATCTAATCTATCTAATCTATCTAATCTATCTAATCTATCTAATCTATCTAATCCATCTAATCCATCTAATCCATCTAATCTATCTAATCTATCTAATCTATCTAATCTATCTAATCTATCTAATCTATCTAATCTATCTAATCTATCTAATCTATCTAATCTATCTAATCTTCTAATCTATCTAATCTATCTAATCTATCTAATCTATCTAATCTATCTAATCTATCTAATCTATCTAATCTATCTAATCTATCTAATCTATCTAATCTATCTAATCTAATCTAATCTAATTTATCTATCTATCTATCTATCTAACTTGACAACGTCAAGAAACGCAGCAATTCTGCGATGCTTCCTCAGTTTTTGAACTTGACAATGTCAAAGGAAGCAATTCTGCGAGACTTCCTCAATTTTTGAATTTGACAACGTCAAACGAAGCACCTCTGCGAGACTTCCTTCAAAAATGGAAGGTTGAGTGCAGAGCTGACGGCCTCGTGCCAATGCGTTTTGCAATATTTCCAGTCCATGTGTCTAAAGTTTTGCGCCTGCCACGAAAAAAGTGAAGCCAGGTCATACGAAGTGCTGCACCTGTCACGCAAAATCATCTTAGCAAACCTAAAGATCCCATACTCCAAAATGCAACCCTTCTCAGGAAATCTCCGCCCTGACCTCCTAACATCTCTGCTGACTGACCATGTCTCCTGTATCCTCTTCAATGTCCCACGCGTGCCAAAGTTTTTGAAACTGCTACGAGACCTTCAGATTTTGCTCACTTTTACCAGGGTGCAGAACCCCTTGCACTTGCGACACAAAACAACGGTTCAACGTCCAAAAGCGGCACAAACATGTGGGGTTTGTAGCATTTTCACTTCCAAACGCGCTTCGCGCCAAAAAAATGCCGTGCACTTTTTGAACATCGCAATTCCTAAAAGCGCTCCGGCCCGCGGGTGTTTTTGGCATTTTGACTTCGAAATGTGCTTCGCGCCACAGCGGCGTGCACTTTTTCAACATCTCAACTTCCAAAAGTGCCCCGACGTTTAAGTGCGTTGTACATTTTGACTTGGAAATATGCTTCGCGCCACAACAGCGAGCACTTTTTCCACATCACAGCTTCCAAAAGTGCTCCGACGTTGAGGTGTTTTAGCGCCACAACGGCGTGCAATTTTCATCTCCCAGATGGCCCCGCACCCGCCGCTTTAGCGAGCCTGGATTTCGACCTTCCGGAGCCACAAATCATTGGAACAACACAATTTTTCGCGGCTTTTCTACCTTTTCGCGCACATGCATCTTCTTTCTTCTGACACTTTCTCTTCTCTGATCTTCTTTCTCCTTCTCTTCTCTTCTCTGACTCTTCCCACCTCTGCTTTTCCATCGGTCCATATTGTCCGAAGTTTGACTTCTAAACTTCCTTCGATAATCATGCATGTCTAAAAGAACCAATGTACAACAAATATCTATATAAGTGCAATATCCAATAGATTCATGTAGATTCTATGCGCAGGGACCCAAATCACTGAGCAAGATCAATGCTTCGCCCATTTCGGTTGAGCAGTCGCCTCGCAGGTGAGCCGAAAAGGGGTCTCTTCTTCTGCCTGGGCCTGAAGGCAGTGGCGACACAAACGCGCTCCAACACTCGAAATTGTGACGCTGTGGCTGACTGAAAACTCTTGAAGTGAAACGGCATGTACGACATGCCTGACATACTCGACCGTCTTCTGAGTCTTGTGAACTCAACTTGCGGCCTTGACCGCATAGCGGGGTGGCTCATAATGCGGAATTTCAAAGGGTCCTCTCACAAGTGATGCAAGCAAGTGAAAATAGGGAAACAGCAGAATGAAACAACGAACACTTCTACCCATTCAATGGCAAACTCGTGTAAAGCGCCTTTACGTGCATGATATAGAAGTTCGTTCATCACAATCTTGAAACAGCTGAACTCGATTGGTTCGGCGTGCTTGAGCAAGGCCATGGCCCTGTGCAGATCTCCTCGACAGTCTTTGTTAGGTCCTGCAGGCTGGCTCAATGCAAAATGCAAAAAGACACGAAGGAGGATCATAAACGGATGTAAAGTGAGTTTCCTTTCCTATCTGCTGTCTGACGTAGAATCATGTAAAATCAATTCTGAAACTCCATACCGCATCGCATCGCATTTCTTTTCTCCTGAAATTGGCCGCGACCAAAATGCGAAGCAGCCACCGCACTTCATGGCTGCTCGGGCAGTGATGGAGGAAGAGTTGTGGGAAGCGCAGCAAGCAGACAGGAAATAGCACGGACGAGCAGGAATCCGTTACAAATCCAAATAATTACATAATACGTAGCACATGCTTTTCGCGACATCTTTAGCAAACATGTTTCATGGCATTTTTGCACATGTCGGGAGCGTTGCTGCCTATCTGAGCCACACAAGCTATTGCAACTGCATCACCAGCGATTCAAGGTCTGTGACAGCTACGCAAACAACTGTAGCTTTCTTCATCCTCTTCGCGCAATCGTTTGTGCAGTGAGTCGTCATTCATCCATTCATCCTGCATGGCGGACCTTTTTTCTGTGGCAACTGCGGCAACTAGTCCTTCGTTCATTGCAATTCCCTTTTTGGCATTGTCTTGGCACTGTCGCATTGCGGCAAGTGCTTGGCTTTCCCATCATTTGTCCTCACGCTTTGCAACATTGGTGTCCTGGCTGGCTAGTACGCAGCGGTAGCATCCTTGTGTTCCGACACCTGGTCTAATCTACTACTCCGAAATGTTTCTGATTCGCCATGGCCATGCCATGGCCTTGCAAAGCAAAATCTCGACAAAGACAATCGCAACATCTCCATGTCGTAAAAAACATCCTTTTTGCAGAGCAGCTGCCCTACTTTGACTTGGATTGACTTGGTATTTCGCCTGACTTTGCCTAGCCTTCTTGCAAAAATCTTATGCACTCTCTTTGAAGCAGTCTCTTTTCTGTCTGCCCCACAAAGATTACAAGGTGGGTTGAGGTGCAAGGTGCCTTGAGCAGATCTCAGTTGTTGCCCCTGAAAGAGGGCCTAGATTTCCAATGCTTGTTGAACGTGTTTTGATAGTACAATGAAGAAGACTACAGAGCTGAGCTACAGTTGAATCCGCCGACCCCGGCCGACCGCAAGGGAGAGCGCGTTAGAGAAGCAGGGTCTTGCAAAACTAGTATATGTTTATCCTTGTCACTGTCATGGTGATTGGATGTGGTAAAGGGGTGAATTGTGGCTGCTTCTGGCTCCTTTTGACGCCGTTGTTTGAAGGTTTCAAAGCGAAGTTGGGCTGTGCAAGCCTGATGGGGGAGCATGGCGCCCGCCCTTCACTGTCATGGTGATTGGATGTGGCGGAGGGATGCCTTCTTACCTGCTTTTGGCTCCTTTTGGTTAACGCGGCTGATCTGAACCATGTTACTGCGGTTGAGCTTGAACAGCGTCCGACATTTCTTCATGAGTTTGGGTCCAAAACAAGCCGATGCCAACAAATCTGGGTCCAACAAATCCTTTCGATATATGGACTATTTTCACCTTTCTCTAGTTTGACATAAACTCAACTCAGCTTTGCGTATCTATCTCAAAAAACAGCACCAATCTTCCCAATATGATATTTTTCTGGATTTAGCTTCGTTCACTCGCCGGGTTTCCCAAATTTGATTCGGTGACGGCCCTCTTATTTAAGGAGGATAATGCTCAATCTACCGGAATATCACATTTTCATATGAGAAATCGGTCTCCAAAAAGGATTCTGATGAGCAGGTCTTCCCAATATGTTTTCCCTTTAACACGCCACCACATCTATCTTCTTGCTGCATCAACATTTTCGATCGCCCTCTAAAGTCTTAACTCATGTGCAAGTGAAATATCAGCAACGAAACAGCACGAAGAACCAGCCTGCAAGCAACTAGTCGGACATTTGTCTATTGGGCTATGAGGGTGGTATGATTGCAGCGCGCTCAGCTGCAACCTATTTTGACTTGAGCAATAGTCGTAGATCCGAGCAGTTTCACAGCGTGTCATTCTTGGCATTGGGCCAAAGTGGACAACCCCACAAGCAACTGGACAGGAAAAAAGTGAAGCTATACAACAGGTGGTTTGAGTAATGGACAACTTCGTATCCACACTCCCCCCTGATCATTCTTGACCAACCACCTATGACAAAACTCAAAACTATTTTTCCGGCTCCACCCTCTCAGACGTCGGTTAGGTCCAAGCATCATCATCGGCATCTTCACCACCAACGACTCCCCAACGTTCCAAGTCATCTGCCACTGGGCGGGCACGATCCCTTGCCGTACCACGGCCATACCCAGGAGTCACCGGCATCTGCTGAGGCACTTGCTGCAGTCGCCCTTTCATAATCAAGTTTCCATAGGTGTCGGCTGGGCCATCCCACCAGATATTGTGACCTGCCGCTACCCCTGTTGATCCACTTGTTCCAGAAGGTTCGGATGGCCCAGTTTCCCCTTGAGGTTCCTGCCCTTCACCACCTGATTCTTCCTCTTCCCTCTGGTACCTGGCCACCAACAGGTCATATTCGGCTTTGGACATCTCACTCATCAAAGTCACTCCCGCATCAGAAGTGTACCCTGCAGACCGCACGGACCACGTGTAGCCGACGGCGTTCTGAGCATACTCTTCACGCAAGACTTAAAGCTCAGCGATCACATCGTCTTCTGCTGGAAGATTCTCAGGCTCTGGAGGCATAGACAACTATGCTGCAGGTGCTCCTTCTGATTGGTTCACTGGTGCATCTGCTGATGCACTTTCTGGCTCAGCTGCCGCTGGACTCCCATGACCACTCTTCGGTTCAGCCACTGATGTGCTCGCTGGTTCAACTGCTGCTGCACGGCCAACCCAGGGTTCTTCGTACTCGTGCTCGGTACCAACTCTGGCCTGCTCACTGTGCAAGTACGCCAGCTCATCGATCCACCTTTCCAAGAGGTTGTAACTCGGTCTACCCTTCTTTTCACAAGGGCGATTGAACAGAGTCCTTGCCTCAGCTATGTGATCTTGGATCTTTTTCATCTCAGCATTGTAGTATGTCCAGTTGTAGATGGGTCTTCGTCCACCACAACCACTTCGGCAGGCGCCTTAGCCGCAACCACGGCCGTTGTCGCCTTAGCAGGGGTCCCACTCGGTGCTGCCTCGGCCGAGCTCTTTGCAGGGCCTGGTGCTATCTATAGGAGGTGGCGTTTTTGCCGCTCCCAGCCGCCTTCTCAGCTGTCCTGCAAGCCTCCCCACCGATCCTGTGGAGGGGCTGTTGGTCTTGGCTTCGACGCTGAGGTTGGGCCCAGGCTTCGCTACCGCCGGTGGATCAGGCTTGGGCATTGCCTTCACCCTTGGCGGCACAGGAAGCCATTTGCCCCACGCCTCCTCATCACCGTTCTGCGAAGGTTCACCTTCAGGCGCAGACATGGCTCTCAGCGCGGGTCGCACGGCCGGGACACCCTGGGAGCCTTGCAAGCTACTGTTTACAGTCTTTGTGACTGCCAGCTCAGACGACAAAATTGTGGCACCGTTGACAGCACCCAAGCCAGACTGACCCGACCCAACCCCGCCTTGCAAAACTGGTGTCGAGCTGTTGTGGGCTGGGTTCATTTTCCTTAGCCATCTTGTGGAAGTTCCAGGGTTACTGGATTCCACCTGCGGATTTGCCGGGTTCATCTTCCCTCGGCGTTCTTCTCCTTTTCAAACAAGACAAACGACTCGAGTGATACTTCCACCTCAGTAAACCTTTGTATAACATGGCAGATTTCGTAACCTAACGCTACTACACACATGTCAGGAGAATTAAATTCATGCTTTTCTACACCTCGCAAAAAACTCTGCCGCTCTCATAGCCAAGTCCTTGCAGGCCGCGATCTTGCCGTAGGTCTCGACTTCCTCATAGTTCCACCGGCCCCACAAACTCGCGAAATCGAGCCCAAGAACTTGCGACGGTGATGGCCTTGGTCATGAAGTCTGGGGCCAATTTCGTCCCTGGCTCCTGTGAGATTTTCCATGCCTCACTGAGCGCTGCATCCTTGAGCGCATGTGCCCGCAATCGAAGATGACGAGACTGCCATGGTCCATTCGGATTCAACACATCCCTGATTCTGAGGATGCGGATCCCTTCTTCTGTCAGGCTTCCGTCTGCCAGGATATCAACAAACACGGCGACTGAGTCACCTAAACACATTCCATCAACGTAGGATGTCACTTCCGCTTCAGAGTACTGAGGGCGGCAAAGCTTTGCCACTGCATAGCACACCAGAAGACCCTGTTGGGATCTTTGACCCCCAGGCGCAAAAAGTGGCTGATCGAGGGAACGCAAGGATCTCTGGATGCTGGTGTCCATCGATCTCTCTCTTATAGAGAAGCCCAACCTCGCAGGAGTCTCTCAGGTAGCCAATCATTTGGCTTCCCAGCTGTACCACTTTCTTTGGGTTTTTCGTTGCTCTGGAACCCATCCAGGACACATCATATGTCATCCGATTAGAGTTTGCGCAGCCGTCACACTGGCCGGATCGCATTCCTCCTCAGGTAGATCAGCATCCACCCTCGGGAACGGAAACATGGAGTTGGGAGCATCCGGATATCGGCTCACCAACTCCTTTACATATTTTGTGAAAGGAGACCTTTCGGTCCCGATTCAATTTCCACTCCAAAAAACTTGAGCATACCCTTATCGGATAAATACTCGGGTTCCGAGCAAGTCCACTCCTGTTGGAGCCTGGCCATAGCACTTCGAACCACATCTTCCTTGGCACTGATATCGTCGACATAGTCGATGCAGAACCCTTCGGTCCTTTCCTCAGTGAAAAGTGCATCCCCTGAGGACACGACCCTCCACAGGTTTGGTTCTGCGGTTCTCATCAGCTTGAAGTGTCTGCCTTCCAGCGTCCATCGGAATGTCTGGACCTTCATGTCTCGGAAGTCTGCCCAGTCTGCAAGGCTTGTTTCCAACACTATCCACCTCTCACTTTCATCGCATATGTTGCAGTCAACCAAGACCCTTGGTGGCGTGGTCACCAACAGATAGCGAGTTTCTTTTCGAGGTGCTAACTTGAAAGCGGTCTTGATGTCAGTCACACCAAGTGTCCAAGACATCAGACGGTTTTTTCTAAGCAAACAGCGGACTGCTGTGGAGTCAATGCCTCCTGCATACAGCTCCTCGGCATTTGGCTTCAACTGTCTCCATCTTCAAGTTCTTGCGAACCTTGATGCGCCTTGACCACCAAGTTTCCGAACAAAAGGATTCGCCTTGTGTCGGCCTGTCGGTGCCTTCGCAGTCGCCACCAGCCTCGATGGGGCAAATTCCATGTCCTGGAATCCCAGTTCCTTCGGCAGGTCATCTTTGTGTATCCTGCGAACCACTGACGTCGCATAAACCAACTGGTTGTACTCCGCCTTCAGAGCATCCCTCCAGTTTTCCAAATTCTTTCGCACCATAGCCAGCGGAACTGTGCGCGTCTGTAGTGCAGTCGGTGGACGACACGCATCATCAACACCTTCAGTCGGCAGACGACACGCGTCATCAACACCTTCCGTACCCGCAGGTACCTCAGCCCCAGCCATCAGCGCCGCCAACTTGATCCTTTCCTCTTCCCACTCAGAGTAGTGAGCCAAGTCACCTTCCAGCGCTTCCACCTGGCCATTGCAGAATTCGATCATTTTTCCGATGCTCTCGCTCTTGCCTTCCTTACGCGAAGCTGCGACTTTCTTCAGTTGCTCCTGAAGCTGTTGCTTCCAGCTCCAATGCTAGCTTCTCAATTCCTTCACATATCCTCCTAATTGGGCAGGCTTCTGAGCTGGCACAATTTCCTCCAACTCCCCCAGATCTGCAAGCGGTTGGTCATCCCCAAACATTGATGGCTCATACCCCACGGCTATTTCAGCTTCTAAGGCTTGTAGTTCAGCCATACCAGCGTCTCCCACGCTGCGAAGTTTTGATCTTTGAGGGGCCTTTGGCACCTCTCGTGACAGTGGCTGCTTACCTTCCAATCTCACTGGTGGATCTCGAGGGTCCGCTCGAGGCAAGCCACATCTTGCAGCGGGTCAGGCACAAACACCGATCTTGCGTGCTGGACCAATTGGCTTCTTCATCCAGCGCAACCCATCCATGGGTCATGAGCGGATAATGCTCATAGTTTTGTAAGGTGCAGAAAATGCCCCTTCTTTGGCTCGATGCCGCTGATGCCACCTTTTGACCTTAATTTTGGCCAAAACTGCGAACTTCGGCATTTTCTTGCAAGGAGCGCCTAGCCTCATTTGTGATTTTAGCGTCTCTTCGGTACCGTGACGTGCGGCACACGGCCAATAGGCGGTGTTGACCTTTGAGTCTGCAAGCAATAGCCGCAACCTTCTTTTGAATTGGAGTACTTCTCCTTCTACTCTGCCGTTCGCTTCTGGTTCGTCGCCCGCATTTAATGTCTGATATATCGCTCCAGACACCAATTGGAGATGCTCTTGGTTGTAAAGGATCGTTCTCGATCCGTGTGCAGTCTATGTACTGGCACTCCCAGGTTTTCGCTGGAGTGGATCTTTGACAGCGCTGTCACAATCTCATCTGCAGCACGGGAAGCAATGGGTTCCATGAATGTCGAGATCACGACAGGCACAGGCTCTGACAACTCTTGAGCCTCCTTTTTTTAGGCTTCCACCCATTTCCGATTTCTCTTTCGCACTGCTTCCGCTGAGATCAGTTCCTTTGGTTCCTCCGGTCCAAAAAGATCGCCCTTTGGATCAGCGTTTGAAGGAACACCATTGGCTTCTAGCGGAGCACCCCCTTCCAGTAGCCCAGCCCCAGCATCCGCTGGAGGACTACCTTCCGGTAGACGTTCCACAGGAGTGCTGGAGGACTACCTTCTGGAGGCACTTCTACGGCTTCCGGAGGTGCACCCCCCCGTTCCCCTGGACTCGGCCATTTTGGCACTGGGATAGTCGCTAAAAATGCACACCTTTCTTCGCTATGACACCCCGAGGTCGGTTCCCACCTTGAACGGACCACAAATGTCAGCTGACATCGTGAAAGCTGACGTCTGACCTGGCTTTCGATGCGGTTCATAGTTTCCAGACAAGTTTGACAATCCCTTCGGTAGGGAACATGTTGGCTCTGGATATGGTTCTTCCATCCCTCTACATCCAATTTTTCAGATTAGGACTCTGAGATTCAGCCTTCAAGAACCGCGGGATCACTTAACTAGGCTGCCCAGGATGCGGACTGTTTCATCCTGTCTTGAAGATGTTGGAGAATTTCCTCCCCCAGATCCCCTCAAGCTCTGCCAGCGCTGTCATGTTCGTCAACAGCGTGGTTGGTTTTTTCCTCATATGGCCAAGAGCTCCTTGGTCTACACGCACATGGACCATGTTGTGACGCTGAGCAAACTCATGCTCCCCTGGCCACTCCCAAAAACTTGGGAATTCCTCATGCGGTTCCAAGTACTTTGCCGGGTCACGCGGATTCCCCAACAGAAACCCACAATTCCCAGTCAGTCCAGCTTCAGCCATGCCTTCTTGGGATTTCTCATACAGGCCCAAAGCCTTCAGGCACAGTGCTGTGTCGCCATTCACTCGCAGAAGATCTCCTGCTCCCAAATCTTCCAAGCGGAACCTCAGAGCTGCCGCTGATGCCGCATTCGGCTCACTGTTCTGCATGGTGCCCGCGCAAGACCTTTTGGATTTGGCCTTGAGCGGCCAAATGCAGCAGGTATATGACTATACGATTGGACTGTGCAAGTCCTCGTTAGAATTGGCTGATGTGTCAATCGTGAGGATCTCCGCATCCTTGGTTTCCAGGTCCTTCCACAAATGATCGCGGCTCTCATTCCCTGAGAAAAGATGCACCACCGAGCGCTTTCTAGCCGACGACTCTTCCGCCTATTCCATGGAAGTGTCCCTTCCTTCACCTCATCCCATGATACCCCTTGACCCCTCATATAGGACCAGATATCATCAGGCACTTATGGAAACCTCTCCCTCCACAGCCTCCACCAGTCCAACTCTCTAGGCGTAGGTTCAGGGTCACTCACCTTTTTCTGCTCGAGTGCTCGAGTGCTTCCAGGTTCAAGGCCTCACCCCGAACCATCACTGGGCACCCCTGTTGGCAAGTGCACGCCAGCTTCGCATACCTTGGGTGTTCTATCTCACATCCATTCCTGGACCATGTGATGGTAAACCCTTCATCTACCAGCATTGTCAGGGGAATGATAGGTTCCACCGGCTCCAGTGACAACAATGTGTCGTGGTATGGCACCTTGTGAAGGGTAACCTTACCCACTGCCATCTCCACTTCCACTGGACGGAGATCACTCAATTCTGAGGGCTTGGCCTGCCTCAGTGCGTGAGTCGCACCGCCGTCGAGCAAGGCTACTTCAATCCCGCTTTCCCCATCGGCCTTAACCGATTTCACATACAGGGTCTCGTCGTTGATAAGGACTTCACTAGTCCTGTCAAATCCTGAACCAGACCTGGATTCGACTCTCAATTGGTTTCTGTTGATTCTGCTCCTCCTTAGCTTCCCCTACAGCTGCCTTTTCCTTGGCGGCTTCCGGTTCACGTTTCTTGGCACTTTCCTGAGCCGGCGAAGGCCCCTTCTTTTCAGCTGGAATCCTTCAGCTTTGAAATCTTCTTATCCTTCTCTCCCTTCGAGCCTTCTGACTGGCTCTTCAGAGTTGGACAATCCTTCTTCCGGTGGGCCGTCGATGAGCAGGCAAAACACCTGGAATGTTTCTCCAAGGATCCCCATTCATGTGCAAACGTGCATCGTTCACCTCGGCGACATCGACCTGCTCCGTTCCCCAGAACTTACAGTGTGCCTTCCCCTTCCTTTCCTTCCCACTGACTAACCAAAGCCTTCACGGACGGTCCCACCACAGGAGGCATCTGATTGGACGCGCTCGAGTGTGGTTGAGCCAACTTGGCAACACTCTGAGCTTTTGACAACTCCTCCAGCTCGGCCAGGATGTATTCAGCCCAGTCCTTCACCGCATCCAACTTGGGAGCACGGTCCACATCCAACTGTTGACGCATGGTCGCCAATCGGAATGCGACCTGACTTCCACCAAGCTAGGCCAGGCTATCAGCGAACTTTGCTATAGAACCCCAGCTAACGCGAGCGGGTCTACGGTGACATTCACCTCTTCTGAGCGTCCCGCCGATCGACGCCATATCCTGATCGCATTCAAAACCTCGGCTATTCCTGCAGGTACCTTCACATCCGTGATTCCGCGCAGCAAGCTGGTTCTCTCTCCAACTCCCGGTTGGCACGTTGTGAACATCCTGAACGGCAGAACGGTGGTTTGTTGGGACCGCTTCTGGAGCCTTTGCCGCAGTTGATGATGCTGGCACCGAGGGCCTTGGAGGGGAATGAGCTGACCTCGCCGCGGTGAATGCTTTCTGGAGTCAGGCCGTTCAACGTGAAGCAGGTGGAGAAGCGGCGGTAAGCCAATTAGGGCCAAGAGGGACGAGCCAACCAGTGGCGACTCCGGTCCGTGAAGTTCAAGCTCAAGCTGCTGCGGATGCGGTGAGGTAAGCAGGATTCCTGGTGGCTGTGCCATCACCTTGAAGAACAGGTCGACCAGCTTGAGATCCTTGAGTCCTTGCTTCATGTTCACCGCGTCGCCCAGGTTCAGCAGGCGGCCCGAGCTCCAGTCTACGAATTCCAGCTTCCAACTGTCGAGGCACTGAGCGAGCCCTTGTAGAGGCAGATGTTCTCCTAATGCGCTCCTGCTCTTCAATCTCCCGTTCACGTTGAACTTCAGCTATCCTCCGATCCAAAGTCTCATCGGCCGCCTCCTGCTGCCCAGCTCGTCGGCGCTGCAACATCGACATGGCCCACACAGTAGCAACGAGGCTTGGGCTCATAACCTTGGGTGATGAGGCTGGTCAAAGGAAGTTTAGGGGGAGAAACTTCCGTGTTACGGACTTTTAGAATGTCAGGGAAAGAGTTAGTCAAAGAAAGGGGTAGCAAAGAAAGAGTTCGTCAGGGAAAGAGTTAGTCAAAGAAAGAGTTAGTCAAAGAAGAGTTAGTCAAAGAAAGAGTTAGTGCGGGAAAGAGTTAGTGAGGGAAAGAGTTAGTCACAGAAAGAGTTAGCAAAGAAAGAGTTCGTCAGGGAAAGAGTTAGTTAAAGAAAGAGTTAGTCAAAGAAACAGTTAGTCAGGGAAAGAGTTAGTCAAAGAAAGAGTTAGTCAGGATATATGAGGTAGTCAAAGAAAGAGTTAGCCAAAGAAAGAGTTAGTCAGGATATATGAGGTAGTCAAAGAAAGAGTTAGCAAAGAAAGAGTTAGTCAAAGAAAGGGCAAAGAAAGAGTTCGTTAGGGAACGAGTTAGTCAAAGAAATTGTTCCCGCAATGTAAATGGGATTGCAAGTGGTGCTGGTGGATGAGTTGCCGATGGAATTCCATTGTGATTTGCAACTCTAGGATCGTTCCCTCACTGTAAATGGGATTGCAAGTGGTGCTGGTGGAGGAGTTGCCGATGGAGTTTTGAAGGAAGTCTCGCACGAAATGCGTTTTTGAGAGATAGCAGATGCACGAAACCCTATGTTTTTCCATACAAAGTCCGTCCCCGAACCTCGATGATCTACCTCTGCGGTGCGACGGGTGCGAGACGGTCTCGTGTGTGGTCGGATCATGGTCGGACGGTCTCGGATCATGTTCGGATCATGTTCGGATCGGTTCCGCATTGTAAATGGGGTTTCAGCTGTGTTTCGTGCATGTGTGGTCGACAGAATTCCATTGTGATTTGCAACTGTAGGATCGTTCCCGCAATGTAAATGGGATTGCAAGTGGTGCTGGTGGAGGAGTTGCCGATGGAATTCCATTGTGATTTGCAACTCTAGGATCGTTCCCTCATTGTAAATGGGATTGCAAGTGGTGCTGGTGGAGGAGTTGCCGATGGAGTTTTGGAGGAAGTCTCGCACGAAATGCGTTTTTGAGAGAGAGCAGATGCACGAAAGCCTATGTTTTTCCATACAAAGTCCGTCCCCGAACGTCGATGATCTACCTCTGCGGTGCGACGGGTGCGAGACGGTCTCGTGTGTGGTCGGATCATGGGCGGATCATGGGCGGATCATGTTCGGATCGGTTCCGCATTGTAAATGGGGTTTCACCTGTGTTTCGTGCATGTGCGGTCGACAGAATTCCATTGTGATTTGCAACTGTAGGATCGTTCCCGCAATGTAAATGGGATTGCAAGTGGTGCTGGTGGATGAGTTGCCGATGGAAATCCATTGTGATTTGCAACTGTAGGATCGTTCCCGCAATGCAAATGGCATTGCAAGTGGTGCTGGTGGAGGAGTTGCCGATGGAGTTTTGAAGGAAGTCTCGCACGAAATGCGTGTTTGAGAGATAGCAGATGCACGAAACCGTATGTTTTTCCATACAAAGTCCGTCCCCGAACCTCGATGATCTACCTCTGCGGTGCGACGGTTGCGAGACGGTCTCGTGTGTGGTCGGATCATGCTCGGATCATTCTCGGACCATGGTCGGATCATGGTCGGATCGGTTCCGCATTGTAAATGGGGTTTCAAGTGTTTTTCGTGCATGTGCGGTCGACAGAATTCCATTGTGATTTGCAACTGCAGGATCGTTCCCGCAATGTAAATGGGATTGCAAGTGGTGCTGGTGGATGAGTTGCCGATGGAGTTCTGAAGGAAGTCTCGCACGAAATGCGTTTTTTCTCCATTTTGGCGCTAGTGATTTTCCTTCTAAAAATCCTTTTAAAAAGTGCTTCAAAATCTTCTTTTTTTCGCTCTGGCGTCGAGATCCGGTTTTGAAGCTACAATTTCCGACGCCGTTGCGCGTAGTTCTATTGTGTTTTGCAACTCAATCTCTGCAGATCGCATTGTAATGGCTGCGTCAAGGTTGCTTCATGCTGTGGCTGCATCCGTAATACTATTGTCTTTTGCAGCTGGACTTCGTAAATCGTATTGGGTTGGCTGCATGAAGGCTGCGACAGTGATTTGTCAGCAGATTTCTCCATTTTGGCGTTAGTGATTTTCCTTCTAAAAATTCTTTTAAAAAGTGCTTCGAAATCGCCTTTTTTTTTCGCTCTGGCATTAAGATCCGGTTTTGAAGCTACAATTTCCGACGCCATTGCGCGTAGTTCTCTTGTGTTTTGCAACTCAGTCTCCGCAGATCGCATTGGAATGGCTGCGTCAAGGTTGCTTCTTGCTTTGGCTGCATGCGTAATGTCTTTTGCAGCTCGACTTCATAAATCGTCTTGGAGTGGCTGCATGAAGGCTGCGAAATAAATTTGTTTGCAGATTTTTCACGTAGGTTTAGAGCAGTGTGAAGTGTGGGGCGTGAAGAGTGCAGTGTGAAGTGCAGTGTGAAGGAAGCAGTGGGAAGTGAGAAGTGTGAAGTGTGGAGTGTGAAGTTTAAGTTTGGAGTGCGAAGCGCGCAGTGTGAAGTGTGAGGTTTGGAGTGTGAAGGAAGCAGTGGGAAGCGTGAAGTGCGAAGTGTGAAGTGTGAAGTGTGGAGTGTGAAGTTTCAAGTTCGGAGTGCGAAGAGTGCAGTGTGAAGTGTGGAGTGTGAAGACTTTGCTTCGTCTCTCGCTGAAAAAATCAAACGGTTGTCGAGGGAAGGACACGGTCGGGACAGGGTGTCTTTGAACTATAGGTCATTTATGTTTGGGAAACTTCCGCCGCCGGCTTGCCCGGGTCTATGTTATGATTGCAGCGCGCTCAGCTGCAACCTATTTTGGCTGGAGCCATAATGGTAGATCCGGGCAGCTTCACAGCGTGTCATCCTGGCATTGGGCTAAAGTGGACAACCCTACAAGTAACTGGACAGCAAAAAAGTGAAGCTATACATCTTATGTCAACAGGTGGTTTGAGTAATGGACAACTTCGTACCCACAGTTTCAAACAATTTTTACGTTTGGGATACTACTAGGTCATTCCTTTCAGTTGCCCAAATAGCGCTATCTCACAGCCAAATTGATCACTTTGGGGTGGGCGGCAGCGGGCGGCAGCCCCTGCATAAAGACGAAAACAGGCAAACCATGGCAAACCTATGCTTAGACCTTGCTTGCACCAAGGAAGAGGAGAAATCTTGAGTTGCTGGCAGCAACTCATCTCTGGCAGCTTGGGCTCCCTGCAACATCCAGTTGGTCTGTGCTTACGCTTCAAGACTTAAACTTAGACTCGTTTCATGCAATCATCACACAACCGCACATACTTCATCATACTTTCGCAAGTTCACCCCTCGAGCCAAGCAAACAAGTGAAGACGGAGAGAGTGCACACACACACAAATAGAAGGAGCCATCATCGTCAATAACTGTGCTGAATTTTATTGAATTTTTGGGATGTTTAGGAGCAGGCACGCAGAGAAATTCACCTCCAGGAAGTCCGCGACAGCTTTGGTAGCAGACAAGTCTGGAATTTCCTCTGCAAAGGTTGGCTCAGTGTTTCACAAGCCTAAGGACAAGCCCCATGGACCCTACAGAGCCTACGATTGTGTGTGGAAACAAGCCACAACCAAAAGATGCCAAAAGAACACATGCGTAGAAAACATGCCTAGAAAACCAGTATCAGATTTAAAGCGCAGGATCCATGAAAGAATCGACTCAGGACAGTATCATCAATACATGCAAGGGATAATTTGAGCTGCTCCAGACTAGGCTCGGCTAGACTTGGAACAAAACATTAAGCTTCACTAGTCACTATGCCTTTCCTGATCATGAAGTCCAGTGAAATGAAGCTCAATCGACCATTGAACTCTTCGAAAATAGTCCAATCGCATCCTGAATCTATTCCTGCAGAACCTGTTCTCTTCTTCCATCTTTGCGCAGTGCCTCTCCCATCTCTTTCGTCTGCAATGCCACTTGCACCGCCAAAGCCAACATCGCCGCTTGTTGTCTCACAGGACCTGGGACTTTGACACTTCGGGAAACTTTCACACCGCGGAAGACTTTCACACTTCTGAAGTCAATGGAGGTCAGTGGAAGTCAATGGAAATCAATGGAACATCACAATAAATGAAGACATGACTTCACTCAACATGGTTCGTGAAATTTAATGTTCGTCACATCTTAATCTTTGCATTTCCATTTGGGTTTCTTCCACTTGCTTGTCACGACACTGAGAAACGAGATCTATGAAGCGCACGCTTCATCGAAACTCCGACGCCCCACAGGCATCTTGTTGGCGAGATCACCACCGTAAAGCACTCCTGAAGTTAGAGCTTGCCACACCACCCAACCGGCCACACCACCCACGCCTCTGCGTCACAAAGCACAACATGAATCAATATGAGGCAAGCAGCAAAAAGAATACAATGCACAATCAATGTACTGCAACGATGTGCAATTTCCAACTGCTTACTTTTTCGTTTCTGATTTTGCTGGTCGAGGCAATTTGAGATTTGACTGCCGTGTAAACACTCAAAGCCTTTGACGACTTGAATGCCAGCTCCAGTCCTTTTTCTCAGCTAAGAGCTTCAACTCTGCACCAACCTGACCACAACAGTACCACAGCAACCCCAACCCACCGCCAGCAGCTAAAACATGGAGCAAACATATACATATACACATAAATCATCATAAATCTTTCTTATTTTTTCTGCTCAAACACTCAACTGTGCTGCTGTGCTCATCTTCTGCTGTTTGCTCCTGCGGCTTTCGGGTGTTACTTGCCACATCTTGTTACAGTAGCTTCAGGATGGTGCAACGGCGCAAGACAGGACGCCTCTGGAAATTTCTTCCAATTTGGATCATCGTGGCATTGCACTTCCGACGCCAGGTCACCGATCCTCCAGCCGTCCCAAGCCGTTCCAAGCCGTCCCACTACAGTGCAGTCATATCAGTCATGCAGCGGCATCTTCGCAACGCAATGGCTCTGAGGTCTCCACATGATGTTAAGCGCTTTCTCTGCTTGGCTGTACATATCACCCTTCCTCAAAGCAAGGAAATACAAAACCAAATGCGCATCAATGCCTAAAAAGAAAAGGAAAGATGAGAACACATGATTAAGTTGATAAAAGAAAGGACATGCTCGAAACAACTAAACACATTTGAAGAGGAGCCTTGTCGACACAGTGGACAAAGGAACAGAATGCCCATGTAAACCGAAGACCGGCAAAACATGATGAAACAGGTCAAAACTGAAGACATGGAGGACATTGCCCTCAAATGTCCATTTCAGTTGAGACCAACACCGAGCTCCATCTGATGCCAACACCAAGGTTTCGCTGCCAAAGTCCTGCACGTGCAGGACATTGCAGGACGCTTGATGTCTACAATGATGCAAGTCCAGCCATGTTCAGCCCAGCTAAAGACGCAGAGACTGTCCAGTCCACAATTTGCCAAAAAAGAAAAATAAAGTCTACAACGGCAGTAAGTAGTAAGTCTAGTATCTAGAATCGCGTTGTTTTGTACATTGACTGCTGTACGCACGAACTCAATGAAACCATATCTGTTCCAAAATCCGATTTAACGAGATTGCGCGCAGATTGCGCAAGTGGTTGATCTGGTTTCAACTTAGTGCATGCCAACTGCGTGAAACTCCCGCTTCCAGGATTAAGGTGGCGTAGGAGCCGCCTAATTGACCCGTGATTGGTAAGTGTTTCTAGCGTGCTTTAATGGACACTGTATCCAATATGTATCCATATCTTATGTTGGAATGTCCATCATATGTCATATGTCCATGAATTTTCTATAATTCCCCGCCGACCTGCCTGAAGTTCCCCGGGCATTTGCTCCAAGTAAATCCAATGCGGAGCATCCTCAGATGAGTGCGTCGAAGGTGTTCCAAACAGTTCAAAGATGTTCCACTTCTGTTGCCGCAAAGGGTCCTTCGTTTCGGCTGCAAACTGAGAGGGGGTGGATTAATTATACTTCGCGAAGCGAACCATTTTCTGTATTGGAGAACGGTGCCCAACTTTAAACCAACGCTGGAAAATGGACATGCAAAGGACATGCAATGGTCTCATTCGTTTGCCTTTCGCCTTTCTATGAGTCTCTACGGCGACGTCTCTCTTGAAATTCCTCTAGCGTTCCTTTGAAATCTCCGAGCGATCATCGAGTCCCGGGGTTTAGTCGGCTGCGTGTGGGCTGAGCCAGGCGCCCGTTTGAGTGGTTCTGGCCTTGGTCCACTAGACCCGCTGGCTTTCTTGGCGCATGATGTGCATGAAACAGCACAAAACATCAAACCCAAACGCGGTGCAATTTAGTGTCATTTAGAGTGTGATGTTGGCAAGAACGGTTCACATGAGGACAATGAGTATCACGGTACCGCTGGATAGGGTACACGCTGGCTCGCGCTTGTCGCTTCGCTAAAGCGAATCAATTGCAGCTGAGCGCATTTCACAACTACAGATTCCAAGTATGCAGATTATGCAGAAGCGGCATCGAAATGCATAGGATAGATTTGTGCATGGCATATGATCGATCATGATCGCATGTAGATACCACATGATACCGCAATGTTTGTTGCAATTTCTTGCACTGGTTCATACTGGTTCTAAGTCTGCGGCCTCGCCTGGCGTTGGCGTTTGGGTGGCGGTGGCTTTACCTGTCCAACTGGCCATGATTGGCCAAACCCAGATGTTTAGTATGCTACGGAAATGCTATGGCTGAAAGCCACTTGTTTTTTTAAAAGCAGCTACGCTCAACATTTGTCAACTCCAAGCGTTCCTTTAATCATCAATGATCAAAAGTGTGCTTGAAGGCTCGCACGGGTTTCAGCACGTTTGGTTCCGTGAGCCAAACTGGGTGTGCCACATTGATACATTGTCGACGTGAGGCCTCTTCAGGTTCCTCTTCCAGCGCATCTTCCATAGCATCCTTCCAGCTTGAGCGGTATGTCTTCATAAAACTAAATTATGAATTTAAAAATCCGTCGGTGCCGAAGGTGCCGACCAACTTCGGCCCGACTTGGTGGCGCCGCTTGGCCCCAACTTGGACCCATTTGGGAGCAACTTCGGCCCGAGTTGAGGTCCATATGGCTTCAAAATGAGGCACATGACCGGCCCAATATGAAATTGTCAAAACTCGCGTTTTCACTGTTATTTTCCGCGTTTTTTGCTATTGATGATGCTTCGTTTGACGCAATGTTCACTTGGCACGAAGCTGTCGCCAAAGTGTTCCAAGTTGCGGCATGTTGGGCCTAACTTGGGCTTCCGCGAATTTCCAGGTGGATCACGTGAATTCAATTTGGGGCCCATCTGGATCGCTTTGGTCCCAATTTCAGCCCAACATGAGCACTTGGCGCCAACTTGGGCTCCAGTTGAGTCCAGGACAGCGCAACTGGGACCCATTGGGGGCAGCGCCTGCTCAAGCGGGGCCCAACCCGAGCCAATTTTGCGGACTCAATGCGACATGCTGAAAACTTGCATTTTTACCGCTATTTCCAACGTTTTTGCAATCGGCTTTGGTTGAGCCAAGTACGAGTAGCTTTGGTTGGGCCTAGGCTCCCTCCTCTTCTGTCAATCCAATTCTCTGGTTGCGGGCGGTTCTCGTCGCGAAGCGATTCGAATATATGATACCCCTTGGGACGGCCCAGGGAAGTTCACTCCTTGGAAAAAAGCGAAATCAAAATTATTCGATAGGGCCCCAGCCTACCAACATAGAAACAACAATGATGATAAATCTGGGAGATGTTAGCTATAACACCCATACAACATCAAAAATATGTTAAAGAAAAATCCTTGTCCCTCAACGTCTGAGCTTCGGCTATATTCATCTAAGATCTCAAACAATTATCCTGTCCGCTACCCCCCAAAACAATCCTAATGTCGAATCCGCTGCTAGCGAGCGCGCAGTCTATCTGATTGCCGTAGATATAGACTGCGGACTGTCTATCTTGCATCCATCAATCACCATGAAGACCAAACAGGACACAGTGCTATAGTAAAGATTATAGGGGGCATTTCTTTATATAAGTATTTCAGGGATTGCGTAGGTAGTGCTAAAGCCAGCCACAAAAAATTGCATCAAAAAATTGACGCGTCCAAAAATTGATCTTTTTAACCCCCTTTTCGCGGAATTTTAGGACGCCTATAAAAAGTACTGGCCATTTTACATTTTGAGGTGGTGAGAAACGTTCTTTTTTCCCGCCAGCCCGTATTTGCCTGACTACCAACCTCCAGCCGCTGTGTAGTGTACATTGTGACTGTCCACAAGCGATACGGCCCAATGGATGTGTTTTGGTTTGTGTGTTTGTGTTTTCTCCTTTTTCCTTTCTCGTTTTTGTCTGCTCGTGTTTGCACTGGGTTGCTGGTCCACGTTTGCATGTCTGCACAGTCTCGTGACTCGCCGCGGCTCAATGAAAGAAAAGAAATCATGATGACTCTTGGGCGGGTTGAAAAATGGATTGGGGTTGGCAAATATCATCCTTCAGTTTAAGCCTGGGGCCAATTAGAAAATGCCTAGCCTAGTGCCCTCATGTAAGGACATGTGGATCTTATTTCTGAAACATGTTGGCAGCTATCCTTCAATCTAAGCTTGGGGCTATTAAAACGCACAAACGCAGTACCCTCATGTAGGGACATGTTGCTTTTCTTTCTGAAACACGTTTTAACTTTTTCATACTCTCAGGTACTTTTAGGGATTGCTTCGGTAGTGCTAAAGCCTTCCACGAAAAATCGGGTCAACACATGAGGTGCCCAAAGGTGGTCTTTTTGAACCCCTTTTCACGGAATTTTAGGACGCCCATGAAGGCACTCGTCTTTTTACATTTTGAGGTGGTCATAATCGAGTTTTTTAAGCTACTGTTCTTGGGTGGTGTGAAACAAGGATTGGGGTTGGCAAATGTCTTCCTTCAGTTCAAGCTTGGAGCCAACTAGAAAATTCCCAAACACAGGACCTTCATGTACCATGTTTTTTAGCTTTTTCATACTTTCAGGGACTTTCAGGGATTGCTTAGGTAGTGCCAAAGCCTTCCATGAAAAATAAAACCAAAAATGAGGTGTCCTGAATGATATTCACCTTTTCACAGCATTTTAGGACACCTAAACAAAAAGCTAAAGGACTGGCCATTTGACATTTCATGAGATTGTGTCATACCTGTGTACATCTGGGTGCTGTTTGGAACACCAAAAATGAAAATAGCCTGCAGGGTCATCATGCTTGTGTCTTGTAACTATTCTCCCTATTGCCGCGCATGACATGACATCTGGAGCATATTAAAAGTCGGTGCGGCGTTCGGCAACATTGTCAGTCTAGCGCAACTCACGCAAAACTTGCAAAACATTGCAATACAAAATCTAAAACATTACAGCATGCCTCAAAATCAGCAAAAATAATTGAGCATATGGAATGTTTTATCATGTTTTTCACTGAACCATGGGGCTTGTGATTTCAGAATGTTTTCCTGTTGGTCAAGGTGCAGCATATGTAAAAACAATGTTTATCATACCAACCCCCTCTTCAAATCTTTTTTACATATGACCAACGCCCAAAAAAATAAGATCCATGGCCCCAAAAAAATAAAATCCATGGTCCTCAACCTAAGGCACTAGGTCATCTTACATGTATATTACTATCTACACTTCAAATTTTCATCCATGTACAATAGAAGACCAGCAGTTAGAATATGGGAAAATCAAACTTCCGTGTTTAACGTGAGTCCAGGATATATCTGTTTTCATATGTTGTTGAGTTGCGTTAATTCACACATAGAATTTAAAAAATAAAAAGACCCCATACACTTAGAATATTTTGGATGTTTATGTATAGTTTGATATTAAATGAAAACCACACAAATCGTGTGTTTCACAGCCGTTTTCGAGGCGTCTCAAAACCCACAATCGTTTTTGGACACACCTGTTGAATTTGTGTCTAAAACAGCCACATTGGGTTCGTACATAATTAGTCACTTTGTACATCAAGCAAGGCAAAGAAAAGAAACATACAGTTGGGTTGGGTTCGTTAATTCCTGCAAAACAAAGAAAAACTGAAAAAAACACTGCAGCTGTCTCAAAACAATCTCAGTACATCACCACATCGGCTTGCAGTTGTTGCAATTCGTTGGCAGCTGGTTGTTTTTGTTTGTGTAAAAATTGTGCATTTATAGGCAGTGAATGCACTTAGAATATGGTCAAGGAAGGCACATAACCGAACAGTTTGCAGTTGAGTTCCTTACTGCGAAGCAAGCAAAGTACAGTGTCAAACAGTTTGCAGCTGTTGAGTTCATAATTGCAACACAATTTCATCCGAGCACCATATGCTTTACAGTTCTTGCACCTCGTACTGAAACACATTCATGGTACAGTACCAGCTGGTTGGCAGTTGTTGTTTTTGTTTGTGTAAAATTGTGCATTTATAGGCAGTGAATGCACTTAGAATATGGTCAAGGAAGGCACATAACCGAACAGTTTGCAGTTGAGTTCCTTACTGCGAAGCAAGCAAGGTACAGTGTCAAACAGTTTGCAGCTGTTGAGTTCATAATTGCAACACAATTTCATCCGAGCACCATATGCTTTACAGTTCTTGCACCTGGTACTGCAAAACACGCATGGTACGGTACCGGCTGGTTGGCAGTTGTTGTTTTTGCTTGTGTAAACCTGTCCATGTATGGGTAGTGAATGCACAAAACAATCAAGGTACAGTGCCAAAATAAGTTTGTAACTGCTGAGTTCATGATTGCAAAACAATTTCAGTACAGTGCCACGTAGGCTTGCAGTTGCTGCATTTCGTTCTGCAAAACACACTCATGGTACAGTACCAGCTGGTTGGCAGTTGTGTTTTTGCTTGTGTAAAGCTGTGCATTTATGGGCAGTGAATGCACTTAGAATATTGTCAGAGTTGCCAGAGTCCATCAAGGAAGGTGCTTGGTCCATCAAGGAAGGTGCATAACCAAACAGTTTACAGTTGAATTTGTTACTGCAAAGCAAGCAAGGTACAGTTCCCAACAAATTGCAACTGCTGAGTTAATAATTGCAAAACTACCTCAGCACAACACCACATGGTTTACATTTTTTGCACTTGGCACTGCAACATACGTATGGTCGCCGCATGGTACATTACCAACCCGTTTGCAGTTATTGCGTTTGCCGTTTGCCTGTATAACTGTGCATTTTATTTATGGGCAGCAAATGCACTTAGAATATGATCACAACTAACATAGTCACTTTGAAAATCAATCAAGACAAAGAACAGAAACATACAGTTGGGTTCGTTAATTCCTGCAAAACAAAGGTAAATTGCAAACAAAATGCAGCTGTCTCAAAACAATCTCAGTACATCACCACATCGGCTTGCAGTTTCTGCGAAACACATTCATGGTACAGTACAAGCTGGTTGGCAGTTGTTGTTTTTGTTTGTGTAAAATTGTGCATTTATAGGCAGCGAATGCACTTAGAATATGGTCAAGGAAGGCCCATAACCGAACAGTTTGCAGTTGAGTTCCTTACTGCGAAGCAAGCAAGGTACAGTGTCAAACAGTTTGCAGCTGTTGAGTTCATAACTGCAACACAATTTCATCCGAGCACCATGTGCTTTACAGTTCTTGCACCTGGTACAGCAAAACACGCATGGTACGGTACCGGCTGGTTGGCAGTTGTTGTTTTTGCTTGTGTAAACCTGTCCATGTATGGGTAGTGAATGCACAAAACAATCAAGGTACAGTGCCAAAATAAGCTTGTAACTGCTGAGTTCATGATTGCTAAACAATTTCAGTACAGTGCCACGTAGGCTTGCAGTTCTTGCATTTCGTTCTGCAAAACACACTCATGGTACAGTACCAGCTGGTTGGCAGTTGTGTTTTTGCTGGTGTAAAGCTGTGCATTTATAGGCAGTGAATGCACTTAGAATATTGTCAGACTTGCCAGAGTCGCTTGGTCCATCAAGGAAGGTGCATAACCAAACAGTTTACAGTTGAATTTGTTACTGCAAAGCAAGCAAGGTACAGTTCCCAACAAATTGCAACTGCTGAGTTAATAATTGCAAAACTACCTCAGTACAACACCACATGGTTTACATTTTTTGCATTTGGCACTGCAAAACACGTATGGTCGCCGCATGGTACATTACCAACCCGTTTGCAGTTGCCGTTTGCCTGTATAACTGTGCATTTAATTTATGGGCAGCAAATGCACTTAGAATATGATCACAACTAACATAGTCACTTTGAAAATCAATCAAGACAAAGAACAGAAACATACAGTTGGGTTCGTTAATTCCTGCAAAACAAAGGTAAATTGCAAACAAAATGCAGCTGTCTCAAAACAATCTCAGTACATCACCACATCGGCTTGCAGTTTCTGCGAAACACATTCATGGTACAGTACAAGCTGGTTGGCAGTTGTTGTTCTTGTTTGTGTAAAATTGTGCATTTATAGGCAGCGAATGCACTTAGAATATGGTCAAGGAAGGCCCATAACCGAACAGTTTGCGGTTGAGTTCCTTACTGCGAAGCAAGCAAGGTACAGTGTCAAACAGTTTGCAGCTGTTGAGTTCATAACTGCAACACAATTTCATCCGAGCACCATGTGCTTTACAGTTCTTGCACCTGGTACTGCAAAACACGTATGGTACGGTACCGGCTGGTTGGCAGTTGTTGTTTTTGCTTGTGTAAACCTGTCCAGGCATGGGTAGTGAATGCACAAAACAATCAAGGTACAGTGCCAAAATAAGCTTGTAACTGCTGAGTTCATGATTGCAAAACAATTTCAGTACAGTGCCACGTAGGCTTGCACTTCTTGCATTTCGTTCTGCAAAACACAGTCATGGTACAGTACCAGCTGGTTGGCAGTTGTGTTTTTGCTGGTGTAAAGCTGTGCATTTATAGGCAGTGAATGCACTTAGAATATTGTCAGAGTTGCCAGAGTCGCTTGGTCCATCAAGGAAGGTGCATAACCAAACAGTTTACAGTTGAATTTGTTACTGCAAAGCAAGCAAGGTACAGTTCCCAACAAATTGCAACTGCTGAGTTAATAATTGCAAAACTACCTCAGCACAACACCACATGGTTTACATTTTTTGCATTTGGCACTGCAACATACGTATGGTCGCCGCATGGTACATTACCAACCCGTTTGAAGTTGTTGCGTTTGCCGTTTGCCTGTATAACTGTGCATTTAATTTATGGGCAGCAAATGCACTTAGAATATGATCACAACTAACATAGTCACTTTGAAAATCATTTAAGACAAAGAACAGAAACATACAGTTGGGTTCGTTAATTCCTGCAAAACAAAAGTAAATTGCAAAAACATGCAGCTGTCTCAAAACAATCTCAGTACATCACCACATCGGCTTGCAGTTGTTGCAATTCGTTCTGCGAAACACACTCATGGTACAGTAACAGCTGGTTGGCAGTTGTGTTTTTGCTGATGTAAAATTGTTCATTTATGGACAGTGAATGCACTGAGAGTATGGTCACAACCACATTGTCACTGATAGTCCATCAAGAAAGGTACATAACCGAACAGTTTACAGTTGAATTAGCTACTGCAAAACAAGCAAGATACAGCACTACAAAGTTTGCAAATGTTGAGTCATAATCGCAAACAATCCCAGTACATCACCACATGGTTTACTGTTTTTGCATTTGGTGCTGCAACACATGCATGGTACAATACCAACCGGTTGGCATTTGTTATTTTTGCTTGTGTAAAACTGTGCATTTCTGGACAGTAAATGCAGCTAGAATATGGCCACAACTGCCAGAGTCGCGTATTCCATCAAATAAGATACAGAACCGGACAGTTTATAGTTGAGTTCTTTGTTGCAAAACAAGCACTGTACAGTACTAAAACATGAATGAAACAGTTGAGTTCAGGTTTGCACAACAATTTCAGCAGAGCACCGCATGGTTTACAGTTCTTGCATCTGGTAGTGCAAAACATGCACGGTAGAGTACCAACCGTTTGGCAGTTGTTTTCGTGTAAAAGTGTGCGTTTCTGTGCAGTAAATGCACTTAGAATATGCACACAACTGCCAGAGTCACTTTGTCCATCAAGCAAGATACAGAACTGAACAGTTTATATCTAGTTGAGTTTGTTACTGCAAGACAAGCCGCGTACAATACCAGCAAAACATAAACAAAATGAAACTATTGAGTTCATGATCGCCGATCAATCTCAGTACGGTACCTCATGGTTTACAGTTGTTTTTGGTACTGCAGCAAAACACGCATGGTACAGCACCAACCAGTTTTGCACTTGCTGTTTTTGCTTGTATAACTGTGCGCTTATGGGCAGCAAATGCACTTAGAATATGGCCACAACTACATAGTCACTTTTACCTCAAGCAAGGCAAAGAATAGAAACCTATTACAGTTGAGTTAGACAAGCCGCGCTACAATACAAAACAAACATTCAAAAAACACATGCAACTGCTGAGTTCATGATCGCCGATATATCTCAGTACGGTACCTCATGGTTTACAGATGTTTTTGGCACTGCAGCAAAACACGCATGGTACAGCACCAACAGGTTTTGCACTTGCTGCTTTTGCTTGCATAACTGTGCGCTTATGGGCAGTCAATGCACTTAGAATATGGCCACAACTACATAGTCACTTTTACCTCAAGCAAGGCAAAGAATGGAAACCAAGTAAGGTAAAGTGCCAAAAAGTTTGCAACTTCTGACTTTATGATTGCAAAACAATGTCAGTACACCACATAGACTTGCAATTGTTGCATTTGGTACCGCAAAACACGCATGGTACAGTACCAACCCGGTTGGCCTTTGTTGTTTTGGCCTGGGTAAAACTGAGCATTTGTGAGCAGTGAATGTACTTAGAATATGGTCACAACCACATTGTCACTGATAGTCCATCAAAGAAGGTACCGAACCAACAAGTTTACTGTTCTTGTTATTGTCACAAATACAGTAGTCAAGACAAACCTCTATAGATTTCCTACATAGTGGGATAACCAAGGGGAACATCAAAACAATGATCTTCAGCAATTCTGACTACTGTATCCCAGTGTTGTTGATTAGCCACCATTATGCCTACGATAATACAGTAGTAACACCGGTTTCTAGCTGGCAAACGGGGATGAAGAGAGAGAGAGAGAGAGAGAGAGAGGAGGCCAGCAGTAATGAAATTTATTGGGAATTATTGGAATATTGTGGAGTACGAGCATACTATATGGTCGGATGTAGCTAGTTTTTCCTTAAGACAGCATACTACAAAAATATTCTATGTGTACCCCCTCGATTTGAATATTCTTAGTGCTTTTCACCCCGGGCTCAAGTATGTTAAAAAACAACATAAATCCATATTCTAAAACTTTAATCTTTTTTTTAAATTCTAAGTGCTCGTCCAACGAAGTAATAAACCTCTAACAGTGCAGAACTATTCATTTTTGGATTTCAAGACTTGTTTGAAGTAATCCTACAGGATAAAATTTTGGTGGTACAAACGGGTAAATAGGTGTGTATTGTTTCCATGTAATGCAATACATAATGGATTGTGAGAACTTTGTTGTAGCTGTAGATGATCAGCACATATCAAAAGTTCTCAGTTCTTTGTCCAGGCCTGCCCCGCTTCCAGAGCTTCCGCGAGCACTTCTTCAAATTCTTCCTGCAGGCCTTCTGTTTCTTCCCTCTTTTCATGTTGCGGCTCTGCTTCTTCCGCATCAGCTTCAGGCTCTTCCGGGCGCACAAGCTCTTCGGGCTCAACCTGAAACTCTTCAAGCTCTTCGGCGGGCTCTTCAGCTGGTTCTTCGGTGGCCTCTTCGGCGGGCTCTTTGGCGGGCTCTTCGGCGGGCTCCTCGGGAGGCTCTTCAGGAGGCCCTTCGGGAGGCTCCTCCGCCTCTTTCCATTCCTCAATTTCTTCTGCCTCCTCTTGAAACGCTGAAATCTTCTGTGCCTCCACGCCCGGGATTCTGAGATGGATGCCAAACACTCAAAACACTTCAAGACTCGGCAAGTTTCACGGTTTGTTTTTTTACACATCTAATCTGGACCGGACGTTCCAGCAACATGAAATTAGTAAGAAGACGCAAGAAGACAAGGAGCTATGCCTGCAGCGTGCCAAGGTCTTAGCCATTCCGACAAATACAAATGCTTCCATTGTTTCGCCGGCAATCTGTGTCCCCCTCCAATGTGCTCATCTTGAGACTGCGAAATCAAATTGTCGATGGCCTCTGTCGTCTCATCAAATGGCTCTTCCTGCCACGGTTCCGATGAAGACTCAAATCGACTCACAGACGCAACAGAACTACATTAACTACATGACAAAGTCTGCAAACGGAGGTCAATCAAAGCCACCCAAGTGACTGTGAGAAGACAGAATATCAAACCACGTGGCATCAATGGACAAACGGATCAATTTGAAGGGACCGTCAGAGATCCTCAACTGACCAGAGACAAAATTTGTACTGCACAAAGGAACCTGTTTACTTGTTTGGGCGTATCAAATGTGTACAGGCAGAGGGGAGAGAGAAAAAGGCAGGAAGGCTGTTTCCAGATAGTAAATGTTGCTGTTGCTAACGATGAGAACAAGAAGGCCGAAATGGCCCCAATATAGAAGGGAAACAAAACCCAAGGGGCACTGATGCTGACAGTGACAATGACCATGTCTGTGCGAAGGATGATTAAAACAACCCAAATCCTTCAACCCAAACGCATGGGGTGAAACTATTTTTGCTGAGGCGTTTCTCTTGGAACAAAGTCCTAGCCCGAGCAAATGTGCCACGCCGACTATGACTTTTATGAATGCATGATATGATATGATACTAGTAATGCCCGGGCATGCCGGGGGTGGAAGTTTCAAAATTTGAAACGTTTACAGCCTGTAGAGCCGAGCAAAGACTGTGCCTAGAGGGGGCGGGCAAGCCTTCTGAGCATCGCAGCAACAATTTCCTGATTTGTCATGTCATTTATCTGGTCCAATCTCTTCTGAATTCATCTCACATCTCACATCTCATCTCATCTCACTTCATCCAATTTCATTTCATCTCATTTCATCTGATCCGATCTCTTCTCATTTCACCTCGCATCTCACATCTCACCTCATTTCCTTTGATCCAATTTCATTTCATGTCATCTCATCTGATCCAATCTCTTCACATTTCATCTCACATCTCACATCTCATCTCATCTCACTTCATCCAGTTTCATTTCATTTCATTTCATCTGATCCGATCTCTTCTCATTTCACCTCGCATCTCACATCTCATCTCATTTCCTTTGATCCAATTTCGCTTCATGTCATCTCATCTGATCCAATCTCTTTTCATTTCATCTCACATCTCACATCTCATCTTATGTCATCTCATGTCATGTCAGATTTTCTAAACCTTTTTCACATCATTATCTCATCTTGTGTCCTTTCACGTTGTCTCTTCTCTCCTCAAACCACCCCAGCTTTTCGCAGTTGACCTCAACCGTTTTCAGCTTTTCTCATGTTATCTTAGCTTGTCTGATCATTTCATTTTATTTCCTTTCAACTCATCCCCTGGAGCTGTTGTACTCTCTCTTGTGTTCTTTCAGCTTTCTGACTTCCCATCGAAGCTCTTTCCCTACCTGTGACACGTTGCAGCACTTCTTTTTTCGATGCAGACAACAGACGTTCAGTTGGGAAGTTGGGTTCCTGCACGGTCCACAACGTTGCACGCAACAAAACATCTCGCATGCAAGATGTGAGGGCCGTTGTGCGCAGCGGGCACGCAGTCAGTCCTCGACAACCACAACAGTATCATCCAAGCGATTCAGGATGGCATGCCATTTGTCGATGTTGCGGCCGATGATGAGGCGAACAAAACCGTGCGTCAACGGCACATCGATCTCTTTGAGTTTTCTTGCGGCCCCTGGCAAACGGCAATGTGCTTCTCGAACGCACGGTCTCTTATCCGTGGAGGCGTTGGCATCGAAGCGAAAGATTGATGGCCATGCATGGATTGATCTCGGCGGCCTGCAATGGCGCACCGGCGTTCGGATCGTTGGAAGCAGAAGCCGATGCTGTGGTTGCAGTTCCATCTCCGATGATGTTGTCATGCATGTTGTCGAGGAGACGTGCAGCAGGGCAAGACTTTGACGCACTGACCCCGGTAGCCGGGGCCCGACTGCAAGGACTACGTCGGTGAGACCACAACATCCCTGGAGCAAGACATGCTTTAGGCATGGCGGTTGGAAGGGCCTAACAATCTCATGTCGTGTCCCCTCAGCTTTTTACTACGTGGATGAAACAGCAGTATATCCCTGGAGCAAGACATGCACGGCGGTAACGGTAAGGAAGGCAAGCCTCTAATACGATTTCCAAGGAAGCTCGGAAGAAGCAAAATTGAAAGGAAAATAGAAGACAATGGAAGGCACCAAACATGAGAAAAATAATCGGAATCCCATAATCGCAACTTTGGCGCGACCAATCCAATGCGAATTTGCAAGCAGCAAGTTGCAAAAGACCAAAGGACTACCTGCGCAAAAGGAATGCAGAGCAACATTGATGTAGCCACTCCAATACTATTTGCAAGCACCAGGTTGCAGAAGCCCAAAGGATTACGTTGGCAAGACAGAAGCTTCTCCTGGCCAAAACCTGCTCCAAAACCGGATCTCGACGCCAAAGCTGAAAAAAGCAAGATTTTGATGCCTTTTGTAAAGTAAGTTTAAACGGAAAATGCAGGGGCGCCAAAAACGATAAAAATCAGCAAAAACTGATTGCCGCAACCTGGTCGCAATCAAAGCTTTCCTGCGAGACTTTCTTCAAAAACTGAAAATTGAAGATGTGAAACGAAGCTTTCGTGCGAGACGTCCCTCAAAAAGTGAAAGTTCAAGATGTGAAAACGAAGCGGAGCTTTCGTGCGAGACGTCCCTCAAAAAGTAAATGTTGAAGATGTGAAAGCGAAGCTTTCGTGCCAGACGTCCCAAAAAGTGCGCGTTGAAGATGTTAAAACAAAGCTTGTGAAAACGAAGCTTGTGAAAACGAAGCTTTCGTGCGAGACTTCTCTCAAAAACATTGAGATTTCTTTGCTGTGAGACTTCTTTGCTGTGAAATTTCTTTGCTGTGAGACTTCTTTGCTGTGAGATCTCTTTGCTGTGAGACTTCTTTGCTGTGAGACTTCTTTGCTGTGAGGCTTCTTTGCTGTGAGGCTTCTTTGCTGTGAGACTTCTTTGCTGTGTGACTTCTTTTCTGTGGGATTTCAATCACTTCCAAAGATCCGTAACAGGGAAGTTAGACATCCAAACTTCCTTTGAGGATATGATATGAACTGATGTGACATGATTTGACATGACATGATGGATCATGATGGAATGGCGTCTTGCTGAGCTGAAGCGGAAAAACGGACATATAATGAGGAGAACATGGCAATGACAATGACCTCGTGATGGTGATCGAGATAGCCAAACCCGTGAAAATCATGTTGCGCCAGCATTCCAAAAGCCAAGCTTAGGCCAGCTTCCGCAACTGGCGGCGATAGTTCTACGGAGCTCTTGCGGAAACTTACGAAGTTCCACAGAACCCCAAAGGATTCTGTTCGCTAAATGCCAGAAAAGTGAAACCTATAGGAGCTCCTGTGGCAGGATTGATTTCGCCTTCGGGTCAAATCATCAAGCCTGTGCCACCTTAATGCCACCGTTTACTCTCTTGGAGCGGTATGCTTCATTGATCTGCTTCAAGTTTCAAGGCGCTTCATCATGTCTACAAGATCTCGTATTAAGTGAGTTTTTCCAGTTTGAGAGCTGCTTTTGGGCAAATTTCTTTGACCATCGTTGTCTCTTTCATGTTTTTTTGGCTGTTGCCCGTTCCAAACACCATTTTGCCCGGTGTCGCGCGGGACATTGTAAAGGAGAGTCGCTTTCTGGAGAAGGTCGTCCTAGAAATCCTTATGGGGCTTCTCAGCCCTCGAGATTTTCAAACTTCTTTCAGTATGTTTCACTGAAGCTTTTCTTCCCCCCGCCTCCGCTTCACCATTTTCAGGATCAGCCTGGGCACAGTAAAAATCCACACAAAAGTACCTACCATTCCAGCACTGTGTGAAAAAATGAGCTAGCTCTTAGCATTTCCAGCCTTGCTTGGTTCCCCTTGAACCTTGTGGTGTACAAGGGGGTTCTAGCTCACATTAAGTTTGTTATTATTCTCCAGACCAAAGTCGACTTTTCACTACTCCAAACTCCAAACACTTCGTTGCTTGTAGTGTTTCTTCCCGGACGGACACTTCAATTTGGAATGCACGGGCATTTCATTTTCTGCAGTCCTAATGTCAAAATAACGATGCGAAGACCTCAAGCAGATTCAGTTGGAGCCCAGCCTCATATGCGCCTTCGTCCTCCCAGGCTCAATGCACACTTAAACAGCGGCCCTGAAACAAGTTCTGTCTTCATATGACAAAACCCTCATGTCAGTCATCAGCCTTCAAAGCTTTCAGAAGCTTGGTATCGAACCCTGCGACGGGATGTGGGATGTGGCGACTATGCCTCTGCTTTTTCATGCCTTTTTCGCCAAACTGACAGTGCGTCTGTCCTGGTGGTTGCTATCCTTCCAATCCTTCCAATCCTTCCACTGCCAATCAGAGCGATTTTCATTGTCTCCCCAGCTCCAGCTCTCCTGTGCGTGCAGGGTATGCAAAATCAGGGGTAAAACGCAAGAAGATGAAGAAGCATGCTATGGATTGCTATGGATTGATCGATTAGAAGTCAAACTTCCGACAATATGGACAGATGGAAAAGCAGAGGTGGGAAGAGTCAGAGAAGAGAGAAGAGAAGAGAAGAGAAGAGAAGAGAAGAGAAGAGAAGAGAAGAGAAGAGAAGAGAAGAGAAGAGAAGAGAAGAGAAGAGAAGAGAAGAGAAGAGACAGTCAGAAGACAGAAGATGCGCGGGAAAAGGTAGAAGTCGCGATCCGCTGTGTTTTTCCAATGATTTATCGCCCCGGAGGGTCGAAAAGTAGGCTCGCTAAAGCGGCGGGTGCGGAGCCGTCTGGCCAGATGAGAGATGAAAAATTGCACGCCGTTGTGGCGCGAAGCACATTTCGAAGTCAAAAGTGTAAAAGACTGACGGTCTCAGACTACTTTTGGAAGTTGAGATGTCGAAAAGCACACGCCGTTGTGGCGCAAAGCACATTTCGAAGTAAAAAATGTACAAAGCACCTCAGTATCGGACCGCTTTTGGAAGTTGAGATGTCGAAAAAGTGCACGACGTTGTCGCGCGAAGCACATTTCGAAGTCAAAGTGTGCAACACACACCATTCTCGGAGCACTTTTGGAAGTTGAGATGTTGAAAATGTGCCCGCCGTTGTGGCGCGAAGCACATTTCGAAGTCAAAAGTACCAAAAAAATTGACGGGCACGGAGCACTTTTGGACGTTCAGATGTCGCTGTGCCTGGCAGGCGCAAGGGATTGTGCACCTTGTCAAAAGTGAGCAGAACATGAGGGACTTGTGGCGCCTTCAAAAACAATGGCAGCCGTGTGGCATTTGAAGAGGATCCGTAAAGATGTAGTGCGCGTGGCAGGCGCAATACAAGAGACATGTTCATCAGAGATGTTCGGAGGTCAGGGCGGAGATTTCCTGAGAAGGGTTGCATTTTGGAGTATGAGATCTTTAGGTTTGCTAAGATGATTTTGCGTTACAGGTGCAGCACTTCGTATGACCTGGCTTCACTTTTTTCGTGGCCGGCGCAATACTTTAGAGACATGGACTGGAAAAATCGCAAAGCGCATTGGCACGAGGGCGTCAGCTCTGCACTCAATTTTACATGTTTAAGGGAAGTCTCACAGAATTGCTTCGTTTTTGATGTTGCCAACTTCAAAAATTGAGGACGTCTCGCGGACTTGCTTCGTTTTTGACGTTGTCAAGTTCAAAAATTGAGGAAGTCTCGCAGAATAGCTTCGTTTCCAAGCTTGCAGATAAACAGATAGATAGATAGACAGACAGACAGACAGATAGAGAGATAAACAGATAGACAGACAGACAGACAGACAGATAGACAGATAGATAGATAGATAGATAGACAGACAGATAGATAGATGAACAAATAGGTAGACAACTGCGACTACACTCCACTACATCACAATTACAACTACACTACAACTACAACTTGAACTACACTTCAACAACAACAACTACCAAGACACTACAACTACAACTTCAACTACACTTCAACTACACTTCAACTACACTTCAACTAAAACTACATTTGCAACTCCAACTCCAACTACCGTTACACAACGCTACAACTACAACTGCGACTACGACTGCAAGTGCAACCACAACTACAACAATTGCAGCAACGACTACAAATACACGGCAACTGCAACCGCAACTGCAACTGCAACAACAATTACAACTTCAACTGCCTGGGCTACAACTACAACTACACTTACAACTACCACCTACCAATACACTGCCACACTAGACTACAACTACAACTACAACTACCAGTAAACTACACCACTACTACAACTTCCACTACCAGTAAACTACACAACTACAACTACAACTACAACTTACTACAACTACAACCACACTACACGACAACTACAACTACACTACAACTACAGCTACAACTCCTACAACTACTTCAATTACTACAACTGAATTTTCAACTACACTTCAACCACAAGTACAACTACAACTACAACCACAAGTACAACCACACTACACGACAACTACAACTACAACCGCAAGTACAACTACAACATTACAACTTCAACAACATCAACTACACTACAACTACAACTACAATTACAACTACGTACAACTACAAGTACAATTACATTACACTTCGCTACACCACACTACATCCTGCAGTTGTGGGTGAGGTGACCATTGCAACCACTCCAAAAATTAACAACCACCTTCGGTCCATCAGTGGAGTCGATCTGCCATCCATGATGCACAACAACCAACCTCTCCTATAGGTTTCCTATTTTTGAAACTTCCGCCACCGCCTTGTGCGGTACTACTGGTATGGAACATGCGATGGTCCCGAGCCCAGAAGCACAGCACTTTTGGCTCTCGGCTGAATATCAGCTTGGGCCTTGTTCCATTCCTTCGGCTGACTCTTCTTGTTCCACTTCCAGTCTTAGTGTTCAGCAGAATGGCCATGTGATTTCAAGAATATGCTTTTAAACTTGCAAAATGAGGAAACATTGAGGAAACATGCGCAGCAAAGAATGCAATGGAACTGCTACAAAAGCACATAAAAGCAGTATGCATAGCACTACAAGCACATGAACTGCCAAGCACTTTCTCAACTTATGCGACTTGTAAGCTCCTGGCCGTCATGACCCTCATGGCCCTCATGACCCTCATGATCCTCATCACCCGCGTGGCCGGCGCGGCCCGTATGGCGTTGAGAAGGCGCAAGTGCTGGATGTGGCACCGAATCCTAGCGACAGATGCAGGTGCCAAGATGTGCCAAGATGGCATTGAATCCATTTGAATCCTCAATCGCTCTTTCGCCCAATGGCTTGCGCGGACTTCTATGATTCCAATAGATCAGCTAGTGCTGGCTGTCAACGAATAGAACGGAAGATGTTCCATACTGCACATTCATCAAAGAAGCATACACTACCCGTTGCAGTCGCACGTTGCGTAAAGTCTTTTGAATATACTTACACCTCACAAGTTTCTTGATGGGTGATCATCCCACCCATGTCTAGCCTGATGCAAGCAGGGGGAGACACACACACAAACACAAACACAAAAAAAAAACTGCATGTCCGACACACGCGCATACACCGTCATGCTTATTGACAGAAGCACGTCATTACATGCCGCCGCACAATGATCAACAAGTTGACGGGAGAACCTAGGACATGGCGCAATCATTTATATCCCTGTTGCAAGCCCAAGCAGCACTACACAATATAGCATCACTTGCGCGGTTGCGGGATTCTTTACTGTGAGTTTGTTCTTCCACAGTAGGCCGCTGCTGACATGCAACTCCCTGCTGTGTTTGCTTGCTGAACCGACAGACAACTGTGGCTCTGGCCTCTTTGAAAATCCAAGGTCCATTTTCAAGAATATTAAGGTTCTCACTCCGCGTCGATTAAAAACACATTCTTTTGTTTCGGTCATTTCTAGGAAACTTTTTTTGACAATCCCTCTCTCATCCTTTCTCCCGCCTCGACATTGATGTCAGCTATCTTGCAAAAACTGATGAAGGCTGGGCTCCTCAACGGCACATGAATCTGATGTCAAATTAGGATAAATTAGGAATTGCCTGGACCTAGGGCCTAGGGCCTGGGCCTTGGAGAATCCATTTCGAAGCATCTCAAAACAACTTCGTTCTTCACATGTTACGAAGTATGTCAATGTGAACTCACAATGTGAACCCTGTGCCCTGTGCCCAAAGATCCTGGTTGCACTGTCTCGCAACTTCTTGTCTGTCGTGTTGTGCATGGCAGCCAGCGCGACAGACATTGCCAGCCTTGCCGGTTTTGCCGGTTTGCCAAGATCATTGCGAAACGGTCACAATTTCGAATATGTCCTTCTATGAAGCCGCGCCGTCTAGGAATTCTAGGCATTCCAAAAAGGCCCTCATATTTATCATTCATATGGCTTCAAGCATGAGCATGGTGCTAACTATCAAAATCGCTCGGCATGCAAGAGCAAGACTCATATCTCCAAAGTTTTTGCGCATTACAATGTATTACATTTTTCCAAGCCACTGTATCATATTCGATCTAATTATCTGTATCTATGTCCTTGATGCTTGCTTGGCCAGCTTGGTTGTCCGCCTGTCCACCAAGTCCCCATTGCAAAGCACTTGGCTTTGGACCTTGCTGCCTGCAATCTCTTTTTTTGCTGACCGGCCATCCCCACCTGAGATGCAACTTACCCTGAAATCCTGAAAGACTTGAAAAGGGTGAAGATGGGTAAGATGGGTGAAGGGTGGGGCGAATAGCGAAGGCTTTGAAAGCCATGGATGCAACACCTCCACGGCAAACCAACCAACCGACTCCCTGAAGTGTCCAAAATATCCAACATCAAAATATACCAACCATTACCAACCCATGGGTTGCTCTCAAACACTTTGGCCAAGAATCTTTTTCACTCCTTCAGGAATTCGACAAAACTTTTTAACATGGAGCCTTTGGAACCAAGAACTGGGCCCAAAAACCATGGAGTCTTTGTAACATTTTGTAACCATGAAACTGCTGAAATCCCATTTTCATGTCTTGGCTTCCCGGCCGCCCAAACCGACTGACTTGGACCTCTTAGCATTGGTAGATTGTTGTCTGAAAGATTCAGCACGTCAGCACATAGTCACCACAAGTCTGCACAAACTGCCCGATGCTCAGAAACAGGCCGACCCTGGCCGACTCTTGGGGATTTGTGACAAACAAGACCTGTTGCCCTGAGATTCGCGCAAATGGCCAAACAGAAAGCCCACTCTTCGTAGCCAAGCCCCTTCGCGGCGTGTCCCACCTGGCACAAGCACGCACAGAATCATGTTTAGACAGTCTGAAGTCCTGCCAGTGGGCGTAAGACTCATTAGAAGCCGAGGAAACACCATGGCATACAGTTTGTCACATCGAGAATTGCAAGGAAAATTGCAACTTCAAGGAAGAGAGTAAACCCTGTCATGGGCACACCCATTACGGTGACCAAAAACATAAGATTACACAAGAATACAACCTCGACGGCGGTATCCAAGCCACCACTACAGATGGCAAAGCGCAAGAACAAGCACAATTCAGAAGCAGAAAGTAGAAACAGTTTAGACAATTTAGAAACAGGAAGAAGTCATCTGGAAAATAGGCGCTCCAGCTGCCCCAGAACAAGTTGAGATTGGGAGCCTCCGGGAAGAGGGTCCAGTCCTGACAGTGCAAAGTTTGGCACAACACCGGAACCTGTTTTGAAACAGACCTTGGCAAAAACAACTGAACCAATATTATACCCTGTGGTGCGCAGCAACATCCTGATAGCGAGAAATACAGGGACACTGAATAAAGTCAGCATTTCAACACGCCTGAAGTTTCTTCTGGTTGATCTTGAAGACTCTGTATGCAATTGCTTATTTCTTTTCTACACCTTTCTGGGCACAATTCTTTGACCTGATGCCTGTCTGCAGTGCCACCCATCCAAATTCTGATGGGTCCCCCATCAGCTCAACGAAGAACTGCAATCAGTTGCGTGAAATCTAAGGCTTAGAGTCTTCTCCTCCTAGATAAGCTAGCTTTGGATCTCAAATCCTAACAAGATATCTACCCTTATGCATCAAACTCTGTGAACAAGGTGGTGCAGGAACTTATGAAAGCACTCCAAGCAAAACATTTCATCATTTAGCAATCCAGAATCATTTTTCCAACGCTGTGCAATTTGCAAAATGTCATAATATGATATCTATTTGGCAATCTTGTCTTCCCAACTTAATTCACAATGGATCATTGGACAAATGAGGCAAAGATATGCAAAGATCATTCATGGAGGGTTATATTTGGTTAGTCATCAACATTTCATCAGTTTAGTTGCTGCAATCAAATCTGACTTTTCAACTCGGACGACGCCGTTTCAGTCATGGTCGTGCTGGAAGGTGATTTCTTCAGCCCTGCAAGCCGAGACTCTGATGCAACCACACCACTGGAATCAGGGAACGCGGATGTGGATGTGCCACTCAAATCAAATCCCTTCAATGTGTTGCCTAAATGTAAAGGGTGGAGAGCACACAAGCACACAAGCACAAACACAATCAAACACATACCCGTCAGTGTTTCGAAGCCAAAAAGATATGACAAAGTGGCCAATTGGCCACTCTCTCGTCAACGGTTTTTTCAGTCTTAACTTATCTAGGATCTGATGGTATCTGATCGTATCTGATCATTTCTGATCTTTCCAAACTGTCTTAAGTCCGCTGGGGCTGATGCATCGAATCTGCCAAGGTATACAAAATATCGTGGGAGTCACTCCTTGGTGTCACTGTTAAGACGCAAGGAGAGCACAACTTGTCATGTCTTGAAGTCGCTTTGTAACACGTTTTGTAAGCTGATTGCATTTTGTATCATTTTGTAATGTTTCGTCTTCCAAATCACTGGGCCAATGGTGGCGATGAGTGTACAGTCGAACACTCTCATCGTCGTCTTACAGAAAGGGATGGGGAAACGATGCGCTTAGGCATTGCGTAAAAATCAGCTATGATTTGTGATGGCCATCTTGGGATCCGCGCAGTAACTCCTGATACTCTGCAGCGTGCTGGACAATGGGTGCGGTATTCGCGTAGCCCTCGGGCTTGTGCAAACTTACGTTTTTCCGACTATGTGCTTCAAACACTGCACTGGGCTCGCAGCAAAACAGCAACCAAAACAGCAACCGAAACAAACGAAACAGCAAAACAGCGGGGCCTGGGATTTTTAGAAAGATTCAGCACATGGACAGGGAATGACAGGGGTACGATGAGTTCAGTGCCTGTTGTACCAGCTCCGACTCTTCAGGCACAGAAATCCACCTGAGAAAATCATGTCGATGGCATGGTCAAACCTCTGGGTACCCATCTCAAACAATCCATGTGTCCACATCTATATATTGATTGATGCCATATCTAAGGCACTATACTGCCATGTCTGATGATTAATGCATTCTAATACCATAAATGCATATAAATGCCACATCAACATGTCTTGCCAGGTGTTTGAAGATGTTTGAATGTGTTTGAGCAGCAAACGCTACAGGCGCTACCCTTTTTTCCTCAGCAGGCTCCGGCTCTGGCCTTGCAAAACTCTGAGGAGACTCTGAAGTCAGCGGAGTAAGTGTCAATAGCACAAGAGGAGTCACAACGAAATGTGTCAAAAACTGTCTCAGCTGCTGCACCGCAATGTAACAAGACTGTAAACCTGTAGACCAATCGAATCTTATGGAGACATATGGAGACATTCCATGTGCCAAACGCACCGAAAGTCCTTTCAGTCCACGTCCAGATACATGTTTGACCAACAACTTGGAAGATGTCTTTCCACGAAAATAATGAAACTTACATACACAAAGTAAAAAAACAAAATCACGTAAAACATCCAAAAAACAACAATTGCATCAAATAGCATCAAATTGCAACCGGCGCGACTTGCCATGCAAACCAGGCAACACAGGCAACTTTCCAAGATTTGCCAAACAAATTGAGCCCGACACGCGGAAACTGTAGGCCTCGCTGGCCTTGAGGTTTTGGTCGCACAATTCTACGAGATCCTACGGGTCCTACGGTCCTAGGCTCAACTTTGCAGGAAGAAGAGATGCCAAATTTGGGTTTCTTGATGTTTAATGAGGGCATATACTGATATGTACAAGTCACATGTGTTCAAAATCAACATGTGTGTATGTGTATATATATATATATTATTTAACATATTCATACTCAAACATCTAGAATAGTGATGCACTATTTGCAAACTTGCTTTGAGGTCGATGAGTCATCCACGAATGCAAACCTATATGTGTTTTGGAAAGGTGGCTGCTTGAGGCGGGTTGGGATTGATGACACACCCAACCACCGGCCTTATTGAAGTCAGTTGTGGTTGCGCTTTGGAAGGCTGATTGCCTGTTTGCGGCACCCATCTGTCCAACTAGTCTTTCTCATGCCCTCGATCCATGCTTTTGAATCCTGAGTGACAACCCAATACAATTCCATGTTTTTCCCTGGTACGGGCTTTAAAATCTCACGCATGAAAAAAGAAGAGCCAATACTATTGACCGCTGGCGTGTCGCTGTGTATAACATTTACAACCCAAAGAAATTTAGAAGTCAAACTTCGGACAATATGGACCGATGGAAAAGCAGATGTGGAAAGAGTCAGAGAAGAGAAACGAAGAAGAAAAAATCAGAGAAAGAGCCAGAAGAAGGAAGATGCAGGTGCGCAAAAAGGTAGAAAAGTCGCGAAACGTTGTTTTTCAAATGTTTTCGCGGCTCCGGGAGGTCGAAAAGTAGGCTCGCTTAAGCGGCGGGTGCGGAGCCATCTGGTCAGATGAGAGATCAAAAATTGCACGCCGTTGTGGCACGAAGCGCGTTTTGAAATCAAAAGGTTCAAAGCACACCATGTTCGGAGCACTTTTGATCACTTTTGGAAATTGAGATGTTCAAAGTATATATATATATATAAAAATTGTAAATCTATTATATATATATAAGCCGTTGTGGTGCCAAGCGCGTTTCAAAGGCAAAATGTCAAAAACGCATCAGCGTCGGACCGCTTTAAGTTGAGATATTGAAAAAGTGCGCGCCGTTGTGGCGCGAAGCACATTTCAAAGTCCAAAGGCGGTCTCGAGCCACTTTGACGCAGCGTATTTCCAAGTCAAAAGTCAAAAGTGTTAAAAACTGGCAGTCTCGGGCCACTTTTGGAAGTTGAGATGTCGAAAAAGTGCACGCCGTTGTGGCGCCAAGCACATTTCCAAGCGAAAAGTGTTAAATTAAAAACTGATGGTCTCGGGGCACTTTTTGAACTAGGTGAAAGGAAAGACCTACGTTGCCACATGGGGCCTTGCGTCAGACAGATATCTAGATAGATAGCTAGACAGATAGATAGACAGAAAGACAGATAGATAGACAGATAGATAGACAAGTGGCAAATAGATTAAATCGATAGAAAGACAGATAAATAGACAGATAGGTAGACAGATAGATAGATAGACAGATAGACAAATAGATGGACAGATAGATAGCCCGACACTCCAACCACCTTTGGATCCATCAGTGGGTTCGCTTTGCCATCCATGCTTCACAACAACCAACCTCTCCTATAGGTTTCCTATCTTTGAAACTTCCGCCACCGCCTTCTGCGGTACTACTGGTACAGTAAATAAGATCATTTATCTTCCTGTATATCGGTCTCCCTTGTAGCTTTCAGTTGACTGTGAAGTTGGTGTCTGATGGCCTTGTCCTTTTCTGCTGTCTTTGTCCCCAGAAGTCTCTCATCCCAATCCGAGTCTTCGATGTCCCACTCTGACTCTCTTTCTCTCTCGCTCTCTCATCCTTAGCATTGTTCTGTATTAATTGAGTTAATCATGTTTCATCATTTTTCCGTGTCTGTGTTGGTCGTTCCTGTTTTGCAATCGTTTTCTTGCGGTGTGTCTATACATGGCTCTGCCAGCTTCGAATTCGGCGGTCCTTGGCGAGTTGGCTGCCCGCGGCTTCGCTGTGGATCCTGTTGAGAAAATTCGAGAGGTCCGCGACGGAAAGGGAACAAGGGAATGAAGGGTGAAAGCGCCTTGCGAAGCTCCGTGAAGTCTGCCATTCTATTCACGAAAAGATACAGAAATCATCAGAAAATATCAGATATCAGAACTGTCGGAAAGATTCAGCTATTTTTTTTTGCAGAAGCGCTAGGCCTGGCCTCTGGCGAAGCGCTTGGCCTCGAAGATTTTGCAAAATCTGCATTCTTTGCTCCAGGTTTTGCTCCAAGTTCTGCTCATCATCTAAATTGATAGGGATTACTTCCGCAGTGCTTGAAATACCCAAACTCCCAAAAATTACAGTACACTACCCTGTTGGAGAGACACGGAAGAAATCTGAAGGAAATCTGAGAAAGGAACAGGGCCATCATCATATTGATATCATATGCGGCATACGCGTTTACGATCTATTGGGATCATCATATTCATCCAGAATAGAAGAGCTAGACCGAATTAAGAGCAACTAGAGAAACCTCAGCGACCAGTTTCCTATGGTTTGCCAACCAGCGCAAAATGTCTGGAGGGAGGGCCGTGTTTTAAGTGTCCCTGGGAATTGGGCGCAGGATCTGACCGAGGAGTTTGCCTTTCAAGCAGCGATTGCTGACTACCATGAGATACAATACAGTATGTAACGTCGTGTGCAATCGTATCCCATGTGCCCTGTGAAATGAAAGCTTTTGAAACAAACGGATTAATGGATTATATATAATTCGACTCCGGTATCTGCTTTCCTTCAAAGCCTCCACTATTCAAGAGTGCAACCTGACCAGCCCTATTCAACCATGAACATGCGGTTCAAAGATGTTCAAAGTAGAAGTGGTTTCTAAAACAATACTCCATCTCTCTCCCTCTCTCTCTTTGTTTCATGATTGATTGAGTGATGTTGACTAGTTTCAGATAAATCCGTTCCCGCGCTTTTATGGCTGGACATCTGTGCAAATTCCGAAGAATGTATGGCCAAGTTACTCTGGACTACATGCAAACTGAAGATTGCTTCCCACTTAATGCTTCTGTTCCACGAGTTTTTTCATTTATGATGATGTATGCCATGTATGCAAAATCATCAATATCTTGCTCCCAAGTCAGTCCGGACATGATCCCAAAGGCGCTGCCTGACACTTGGTCGTGTTGCTGCAGGTTTCATTGCCGGCTTTGGGCCTGAGGGCCTGAGGTGATGAGACTGTGAGATACTGTGAGCCATAATGTGAAACATGTCCTGGACAGCAGTGCCGGGCCTAGGCTGCTTGAGCTGCCGCAGCTTAGGCTTTGCTGGCTCTGGCTTTGGTGGTTTTGCTGGCTCTGCCGGCTCTTCCGGCTCCCAGGTATCCCACTGCTCCCATTCCGAAGACTCCCAAGGCTCTTCTGGCTGTGGTGGCTCCGGTTCTGCTTCTGCTGCTTCTTCTGGTTCTGCTTGGTGAGGTTCGCGTGGTTCGTCAGGCTCGTCCCACTCCCAAGTCTCCGCTGGCTCTTCCAGCTCTGGCTCTGGCAGCTCTGGCTCTGGCAGCTCTGGCTCTGGCTTCGGTTGCTTCAGCGTCTGCTTAGGCGCTTTCTTCGGCTGGGCAGGCCGCGGCTGTGCCGGCTGTGCAGCTGGCCGTGCAGCCGGCCGTGCCGGTCGGGCACTCGGAGGTGGCCCTTCTGGCTCCACCGGCCCTCTCGTTGGCGCTTGAACTCGCGCTCCTTCATGGAGGTTCCAAACAAGTTTTGTGGTGCAGGGGGAATTCTCAGTTCAAACTTCAAACACTTTGAAGCGATAAAAGGCACGAAGAAGACAATGCTTTGAGCAATGAAGCAAATCCAAACAATGATTCTCGCACAGTGTCCTATAATTTTCTCAGATGCAGGCTTTGGTCTTGCCTACACATGTCCAAGGCAACAACGAACACAATCTTTCATCACATTTGATTCTGGAAATCGGGCTCATCTAAAATAAACTTGAGATTGAACAAGGCAGCAATCCAAATCAACTGGTTCTTGTGCCCGTTCAATCAAACGCTCTGTCACAGACTGCGAAAACCTGAAAGTACTTCCGAGCTGTTGCAAGGCATCAGCAGAACAAGCTGAGGTATGTACAGAAAGACTTAAACATTGTCAACCCACGGTACGGCATTCGCCAGTTTATGGAAAGCATTGCACCTTCGTGGGCAATGACTTTGCTGTGGGCCTCAAGCTGGCCCCCGGTTATGATTCGTTACGATCAAGAACCTCCAACATTGCTTTGCACACGGAAATGTAGCGCAAGCAACTGCAGTAGAAGCTTGTCAATAGGGTCCATACCGGTGCATTAAACAAATACATTAAAAAATGCATGCCTAGAACTCTTGCCCTTTCATCAACTATCGCCTCTTGGGCGTTTGGTACAAACCTCATGTTTCTCTTGCAGCGGTTTTCAAAAGCGTCGGTTAAAAACCTGAGACTTTTTGTGTCTAAGCCGAAGCATGCCGAATCTAGGCCTCTGACTTTGCAGGCATAAACGCTTTCACAGGACCTCAGCCGTGCCCATCGTTTTAATGATCACAGGGAGAGTCGTCAAAGTCGTCAATCCCATCTTAGGTGTGCAAAAATTTGGCGGAAGCAAAACAAATCTTGGCAAGATTCCACGGTAGGGAGTCTGTAGGAGGTGGGAGTCAGAAGACTTCGAGTCAGAGAAGGAAAAGGAGCAAAAGTAGGGGGGGAAACTATGAAATTGGCTGTGAAAACAGAAATTGATCGAAATTGTCTAAGACTTTGTACCGCATGAGTTTAAGCTAGTTCGCTGCAACCCCTGCGTTGCTCCGTGTCGGAATCAGGAGTGGCCGAAGTATATAATAGTACATAACACATATATCAAATATTACATCACATATAAGTCAGAGGGGGTGCCAATTTTTGATCCCTTAGGAAGATAAGTTGATGTAATGATCCCTGTCAACGTAGTAGTCAGAGGGGGTGGCAGATTTTGATCCCTCAACAAGATAAATTCATGTTCTTATTATCATCAACATATAAGTCAGAGGGGGTGGCAAATTTTGATCCCATTATGAAGATAAGTTGATGTTATGATCCCTAAGCCATGGGCATGGCATTTGGGGGTTTCATTTGCATTTGGGGGCTTCATAGTTGGCTACCCTCTGTTGAATGCTATGGGTTTCTTCTTGCCACCTTCTGTGGCACAGACTGCTCCTATTTGCTGCAATGCAAAGGGGCTTCATAGTTGGGTTACCCTCTGTTGAATACTATGGGTTTCGTCTTGCCACCTTCTGTGGCACGGACTGCTCCTATTTGCTGCAATGCAAAGGGGCTTCATAGTTGGCTACCTCTGTTGAATACTATGGATTTCTTCTTGCCACCTGCTGTGGCACTGACTGCTCCTATCTGCTGCAATGCAAAAGGGCTTCATAGTTGGCTACCCTC